CTTAAGAGTGATGTAGCCACAGAACTTCTGAGAGACACGAGTGTAGGTACTGTGCACGAGTAAAACTGGCCTGTTGCAACTTCAGTTTTTATTCTAAGGTCTCATTTTCGCTCTTCAACTTTTGTGAAGACTGAATCTTTTACCATATGCAACCTTTCCCACTTACATTACGGCTAAGAGACTCAGTCCTTCCGACATTTTATGTATAGGCATGAATGTTTGGGAATTAAAAAGACATTACAGAATGTTTATCATGAAATGGGGGCTTGCTGGTCTAGAAATGATTCAAGGTCATTAGCCTAAAAATGATGGCTAAGTTCCCATACGAGTTTTAAGAGACAATATTTTTACTTACTCCTGAAGTTTTTTAAAGTGAATTTTCCAGATCAGTGTGGCTTTGAAGAAATCCAGTCCTCTGCACCACTCACAGGGGGGACTAGTACATCAAGGGTCCCCTCCTACTTCCCTGGACAAGCAGGGCAGCCTCCAGGCTCTCTGTTCATCCTCCCTTTCTTCTCTGTGGCTGGCTTCACTCCCCCAGCACTTTAGCCTGAGAAACACTGGTTCTTCTTGATCTCCTGTCTGGGCCATCCCGGCTCTTGGCCTCCAGACCTCCATTTATGTCTTCCTTCTTCCCAGTGCTGCACCTGTTAGCTCATTCTGGGACAAGGAGGCTCTGGGATAGCTCTCTTGGAACTTCTACTTAGGAGGGCCATATGTAGTACTGACTCTTAAAATAGATCTCTTGCCCAGACTACCCGCTCCAGATTTCAACAGCTTTAAAAAACCCAATACCACTCCAGATCCCCTTCAGGCTGGCTTCTCCCCACTGTCCTCAATTTCAATGAATTGTGGCATTGGTCCATTCCCTGAGGGACCGATGCTACAGGCATCGAAACTTTGAGGCAGGAAACTTTGAGCCTTCTTTCATTCCTTGTCTTCATCCTCACAGCTGATTCACCATCAGATGATGTCAGCACAATGCGGACACTACTTCATGCTGCTGTGTTTCCAGCAGACTCTAGTGGACAGCTCATCCCCCGAGCCTACACCAGGCTAGTCCCTACTAAGGAATCAACACACTGGTCCCAAGTCCCCTACTCAGTGCTTCAGGGGCTTTCCAGAAGACAGCAGTTCCCACAGGGATTCTCTAGTCATGGAGGGTAAAGTGAGTTTCAGCCCTACTGGGAACCCTACGAAGCAGAGAGGTTAAAGGCCTTTCATTAGGACACCCCTGATGTCCTAGACCTCCTGTGCTGGCAGGCTCATCGACTCAAGTCTTCACTTAGTTGTTCTCGCTGAACCTTCGACAACAGCAAAGCCGAGGCATTTAAGTGCCGACATTATCCGGCACTCAGTCCTCTTGCTGAGAGCGGAATGTCTGTGGCCACACCACTCCTCACCAGGCCCTGCTCTGCCCTCTCCAGTCAGATCAGAGCTGCCAACCAGAGCAGAAACCTTGAACTCCAAGGCTTCTCCTACTAACTCCATGGAGTCTGCTGTGTGGCTCCTTCCCTTCCGCTTTTCTTGCTGGGGTAGGGTTCGTTAAGGATTTTAATTGGGATTGTGCTGGATCTATAGATCGAGTTGAGAGGAAATAATGTTTTATCAATGGAGAGTTTTCCAGTCTGGGAATTCATCTCTTCAGTTATTAGTTTCTCTTTAATCCTTGTTATAATTTTTTACTTTTCTTTTTGTTATATTTATTTTTAGACACTGGACATTTTTCAGCACCTATCATAAAAGTTTTCTTAATTTTTTTGTAATTATTGACATATTTCAGGTCATGATAGAAATATAATCTATCATATAATTAAACGATTATTTAGTTACCCTTTGAACACTTCAACCAAACCTTTCCCCCAACTTGCATCTGCATATTCATGCAGAACCAAGTATCATCCAGGTCTCTTTAGCCTGTTTTCCCTACATCTAAGGACAGAACTCCTTTGGCATTCACGTATCCTTTCCCACAGATCACCTCTGAATCTCCAGGTTGTCCGAGAGACAGAGGTCTTTAAACTTGTTTAGATTAACATCTCATATTTCTGTGAATATTTTTGTATGAACAAAGTATGGATTTAGGGAGTTAGGCAGTTGGATTCAAGGCAGAGATTTTCCTTGAGTAAACTTACTTTACATTGAGTAGTGAGGAAAACAGATATGGATGAAAAGATTACAAGCATCAATCACTGTAGGGACAATGGAAGAAAGAAACAGAGCCAAACTGATAGATCAACCCATCAACCAATCAGATATGGAGAGGATATGGCAAGGCAAACTCAATCAGGGACACCTCCAGATGAGACCGCCCTGGCTATGGGTGGTGCCAATTGCTGTGGTTTGAATGCGAAGTGTTCAGCAAAGGACCATGTGTTAACAGCTTGCTCCCCACAGTGGTGCTACTGGGGGAAGGTGTGAACTTTCAGAAAATGGAGCCTAGTGGATGGAAGGAAGGAAGAGGAAGGGGAAAAGGAAGGGGAAAGGAGAGAGGAGGGGAAAGGAAGGGAGGTCACTGAGGGCCCGCACTTTGAGGATTGTGGGATTCCAGCCTGCATTCTTGCTCTGATTCCAGGTTACAGATGTGACTGAATTGTTCCTCTACACAACCCTGCTATGACGTGCCACCACCTACCACCCTCCCTGGAATGTGTTGATGGAAACATCTTGCACTCAAACCTTCAAAACTATGTTAGTTGCTCTGGGCATTTTATAATTATAATGCTAGGATGACTAACACATCCACCTTTTACATTCTTGCTAACTATCCTTTCACAGGGAACTCGTACTATACATGAGCAGTTGGTGAAAATGAAAGTCCAGAAGCCATTGGTATTCCAGGTCTGTCAGAAGCTACTCTATTGTTCTTGGGCAAACTCTACACAGATATTTCTACCAGAGTTATGAGGGTTTCTGCCTGAAAATTCAAGGGCACAGTTTCTAGTCTGTTTATCAGTGAAGAATAGAGTTAACGAGGGTGTAGAGGGACCAGGATCTCCTGCATCTTCTTCTCAATTAACTAGTCAACTGTCTTTGGTCACCCACACTAATAGTTTTTACTTCTCCACTGTCAGGGGTCCCTTTTGAGGAATTAACAGAAGAGACCCCCTTGCTGTCCTCTGAAGTTAAAGACCAACTCTTGCTGTGTGAGACACCTCTCTTCTGTACCCAGGAAAAGTTTTTTATATTTTACCCTGTCTTCTCATTATTGAAAACCAGGTATTGAAGAAAATAGGAAACTCTTTATGGTTTAGGCCATCCCAATTGGTTATGTCTTATGAATTGATTTGTTTTTCATATGTAGGATATACCAAATGTGTGTTTCAGGCCAAGGCCCCTGAAGATGTCAATCTCATGGGCTTCTCAGGGCATGTGGCTTGATGCTAGAGAAACATGATTCAGAAAGTTCATGACAAGCTCTACAGATTGCCTCCCACACCAGGATCCTATCTGTCCACTGTGGGATGATTGAAGACTAAATATTTAAGCCATGTGTTTCATGACATGAGGTGGAAGTGATGACAGCTTCCTGAGAGGTTGAAAACTGAGGGTGAAGCCCAGCCATCCGGCTCTCCTGGCCTGGCTCAGGATAATACGGGTGACGCTTCTGCATTCTAAGGCATGGAATCTGGAATAGGGCAACATGTGGGTGGCAATGCTTGTGGGCCCCATAGAAGGTAGCCACAACAACTTGGTGCTCTTTTCCAGGCCAGGACACAAACTATCCCTTAATGGGTCTGAACTTGGAAAGAAATATGACAAAGAACATATTTCCTTCTTGGAGGTAGGGAAACACCATTATTATGGTTGCACCAAATGAGGCTCATGAGGAGCCTTTGAAAAGTATTCAAGATCCCTAGGTGTCCTGTGGTTGAAAGGAAGAAGCAGTATTTATGAATACTGTATGGACTATCTCTAAATGACCCAAAGGTTGTCTCTATCTTTCTGAAAAGTACCCAGCAGAGCCCATGCCAAGGAAGCACCACTGTGAACAGCTCCATGTAGCAGAGAACACACCAGCTCCTTCCCTTAATAACTGTGTAGTTGTTTCTGGACTTGTTGTCAAAAATTAAACATGATATAGCTGGAGACTTGTCTTCTTGCCCTCTGCTGTTCTGTGTTACATCTGGTAAAGCTGGTGAAGGAGGGGGAGAGGAAGCTTGGAAAACTAAGTGTGATTCTCCAGCCATGTCCTTTTCACCACTCTCCAAGAAAACGTTGGGGCAGTCACAGTAGCTCCTGAGGTGGTGTTACAGCTGCCTCTGAAGTAGCTGTCAGTCCCAGGCCAGTGAGTATCAGAGATTCTGGCCTTCTCTGAAGGTCAAGGACTATAGTGGGCACTACTTCTACTAGCCTGCTCTGGTGTCACCTGGGACAATGGTCAAGGCTGGTGAGGAAGAGTGACAGGCAGTCAGCTTTGTCAGCTCCACCTCATTCAGACACTGTTAGCCCCTTCTTTTTGACGAGGTGCTGTTTGCAAGAAGTGACGTAGGGAAATCTGCAGGCACCTGCTCTTCCTGTGCTGGCGGGCAAAGGGGGCAACGTCAATGTCTCTGAGCATGTGTCCATGGCATGGAGTGCTGGGCCCTGAGCAAACATAGCTCAGCCTGGACTTCACACAATCAATTGTTCTGCATGACACATGAAAGGGAGAGGGGTCTATCAGGGACCTTCCTAGATCTGGAGGGGCTGGGCCAGGAGAAGTTTGGCTTGCCAGGTGGTGGGAAATGGGAGGAGAAGGATTGTGGCTTAGCTCATGCAAAGACCACAGCTCCACTCATGGAGGAATCTACTTCCTGTTCATCGTAGTCATGGACAAGACTGCGAGGTACGGTTATGTTTCAAGGAGTTGGCCTGGTTCACCTCTTGGCCAGTGTAGATTTTAGAGCACTCTTCAGAGAAGGGATGGCCCTTGACTGCCAAGTTCTCCCTTCGTATCCCCTGTCCTGGGGACGCATACCCACCCCATCCTGTCAAACAGCTTTTTCTCAGAGGCCTACCTTGGGTTTGAAGGCAATGAGCTTCAGGATCATCTCCACTGTGAAGAGGCCAGTGAAAAGCATGTTGAGTATATTCATGGCAATTTTGAAGAGGCAGCTCTGGCCATAATGCTAAGTGGAGGGAAGGGGGAAGACCATGAACATGAGGCTGAAGTCCTCTGGCTCTTTATCACCGTTGTCCAGCTTTCTCACGTCTACATGTCCAGCCCCCGTGTCTACAGGGATCCTCCCAGAGCATCCTCAGAAGGCTGCCCACCATGCCTTGGGCAGGCAGGTGGACTCTGGAGACACTGCAAGCTCTTGCCTTTCCTCCCATCTCTGATAACTGGGGTGGCAGAGATCTGAGTTCCTGATGATTGGGCATGATGACTTCTGGATGTTTCTGGTACTTGAGAGCCTTGGCACAAACTGACTTCCTTGTAGGTAGGAGTACTGAACCCACTTCTATAGCTCATGATGATGACTCCAGGCTTACTCTCTTGGTTCTCCACCTCCTCTATTCTGTTATCAATCCAGGGCCCTAGGGATTCTTCCATAAGGTCTCAGAGGAGCCTCATCCCTGAGAAGGGATACCTGTCTTTCTCTCACTCTCTGTCTCTCTGACTTTCCCAGCTGCAGGCAGATGACCACTTGACCTAGCCTTGCAGTTCCTTCTATTACATCCTTCCCCAGCATTTTCCCTAGGCTAGCCCCCCACCCATAGACTGACCTGCATGGCCAGGCAGATGGTGTTGAGCAGGATAAGGACGAACATCAGATACTCGAAGTAGGTAGAGTTGACCACGTACCACACTTTATACTGGTGCTGGTTCTTGGGGATGTACCTTCGCAAGGGCCGGGCCTTGAGGGCATATTCCACACATTGTCTCTAGAGGGGAAGAAGGAGAAGTGAAGGCACATGAGGGAAGAGTAGGGATGACGAAGGGTGCGTGGCAGTAAAAGGCAGGATGCATGTGAAACCACAACCCGGGAAGGTGTTCTCGGGCTCTAGCTCACAGATGTGGCATATAATGTCAAGCATGCTTTTCATTTTTCTGGCATCCTTTATCAAGGACAGAGGCTCAAGGACAGAGGCCCCGTCCATCAAATCTTATCCAGATTGCAAGCAAGGAGCTCAGCTCCTTTTCTCCAACTGGTAATGACTGGTGCATTGCTCAGCAAGTGTGTGGTGCCTGATAAATACTGATTGGCTCATAGTTCTCATTGGTTATGTTCCACACCAGGTTCTCCATGGGGGTATCTCTTGTCTAATTTATTTTTTCTATCCTAAATCCTTCTTCCTTATTGTCCAGTATCTACAAGATCAGAAGACACAGAACTGTCAAGAGAGGAACTCTTGTTCTAACTAGAGTCTTGGGAATACAGAAAACGTCAGGCAATAGCTATGCACAGCACCCAAATCTCTAAATCAGGAAGTAAAAAGCCACTCCAGCCTGCTTGACCCTTGACCTCCACGCTTAATCCCCAAGCCTTGCTGATCTGACCTCCTGCTTTTACATCTTCACTACAAAGAACTGCTGTTGAACTTCTCAACTGACTTCTCCCCTTGCCTTCCTTTCCACACCAAGTCTACACAGCAGCCCAGATGCTGACTCTAAAGTTAAGTAGCAGATATCTAAGCCCACAAAGGGTCCAGCTTTCCTGCCATGCACAGAGCTGGGCAGACTGGGCTGTGTCCTCAGGAGCTGGCTTTATTCTGAACATGTTTCCACTGGGAGTGCAAAGGGGGCTGAGGTACCACACCTCTGTCCAACCCCAACAGCACATTAGTCACCGAGGGAGCTGCTAGCCCTTTCCTGCAGGCTAACAGAACGTATTCTAGACCTTGGTATCACCATGTCACCCCCTCTTCAGACTCTCTTCTCCCCACCCCTGCTCAGACCTCTGTTTTGCGTGAGAAGCCATCTAAGTGGTTTCTCTTGGCCATCCCAAGCTCTCATCCCCACATTGCTCTCTCTCCTTTGTCAATGGTGCCAACACACCTGGGCATAGAGTAACTTTCCCATTTTTGGATATAACATAAATTTCGTTTTTCCATGTTGCCTGAAACAAAGTGTCGCTACATGGAAGTGTAACAAATATTTGCTGATTGAGCACATTGTCCTGACCTGGGATTTGTGAGGATTTAATGTCTGTTGGGTCTATGAAATGCTGGATCCATATTTCTGCTGCAGGAATTTGGAACAAACCCCTGTTCTGTCGGATGACAGGACAGAGGATCTTGATATCCAGACACATCTCTCCAAATAATACCCTAGGCTCCCTTCTGAGTGGATCTTGGACAGCCAACCTCTGCATTTTCTTATGTGGGCCCCACTTTCCTCCTCTCCTTCCCGGAAGGCTACCTGGTTCTTGTCCAGCTCACAGTTCTTGTACTCTTGCTCCCCCTGCTCCTGGAAGGTGACAATGACGAAACCCACGAAGATGTTCATCATGAAGAAGGCAATGATGATGATGTAGATGATGAAGAAGATGGAGATCTCCACACGGTAGTTGTAGATGGGGCCCTTGTCTTCTGTGTGGGAGTCGATGGAGCGGTACAGCAGCCTACAGGAGGAGACAGGCTCACAGAGTGAACTGGAGAAGCAGTGTCACCTCCATGAGATGATAGCACCACTGCTGCCAGGGATCCCTGCAATCAAAGGAAACAGCTCCAGGCTGAGGCCAGAGGGTCTGGGCTCAAGTCCCATCCGGGCAAACCAATGAATCTCTTTGGCATTGAGTCCACAACTATCAAGTGGAAATGATAATTCCCTATTTTTCTATCTTACAGAGCAGCTGGTAAAATATACACACCGTGTCTTGAAACTGTCAAGAGCTGTTGAACTGCAACATTCATCACTAACATCAATTCCAAATACAGAAATATTGGTAAATATTGAAACAGCTTTGTAAACTGGCATGGGCCCAAGGAGGTGAGGCCAAACAAAAAGTAAATCTGAGAAAAAATTCATTTAGATAAAATAAAACGAGCATGATCCTAGATCATTCACATCATTTACAGTGGTTTAGATTACACTTATACGTAAGTCTGCCATTCATTACACTCTGGACTATGGGACCAATTGAGCTTGTTCTTCATGGACCAGGATGATTTCCTCTTATTCTATTGTAATTTCCCCAGTATATGCCTATTCTCTGAGCGTCACTTATATATTGCTATATAGTAATGGCAAATCCCATCCATACACTGTTGGATGGGGACATAGCTGTTTAAACCAAGATACAAAGAGCATTAGATTGCCCAGACTGCTACCAGCAATGCTGTGGGGAGACCAATGGGCTGGTCCAGTAGAGAAAATGTCACATCTGCAGAGGTCTGGACGGGACACCTGGCTTTTGTTTCTTTTTTACTCAACAGTGTAGTTGTCAGTGTAGACAAAGCTTTCTCCAAGGAGATGAATACACAGTCTAATCAGACAGACCTCTCAGCTACCTCCACCCATGTCAGCTACACGTGGGGAGTGGTAAACGGGAACTCGGTGGTGATCAAAGGTTTACACCAGAGAAATGCTTTCTGTACTTGACTCTGAAATGTCATAAAGATAATGGCAGGGACTCCTAATCTTGTGACTCATACTGAGCTTGGGAAAAGGAGTTAAAAGGTATCCGTTTTTGGTTGAGGTTTCTAAAATGCTGTGGATGTATTGAGTGGTACAGCACTTGTATAACATACACAAGGCCCTCAGTGAAATCCTCTGCACCCTCCATCTCCAATAATATCTTCATAAGATTTTTTGTTTTTGTGACAGGGTCTCGCTCTCTAGTTTTAGCTGGCCTGGAACTCACTAGGCTAGCGTCAAGCCTCTGGCTCCCCAGTGCTGGGGTTAAACACATGTACTACCATGCCCAGCTAAAAGTCTATGTTTCTGCAGTGATCATGTTCTAGGGGAGTTTTTTTTTGTTTTTTTTTTTTTTTTTTTGGTTTTTCAAGACAGGGTTTCTCTGTGTAGCTTTGCACCTTTCCTGGAACTCACTTGGTAGCCCATGCTGGCCTCGAACTCACAGAGATCCGCCTGCCTCTGCCTCCTGAGTGCTGGGATTAAAGGCGTGCGCCACCACCGCCTGGCCTAGGGGAGTTTTAGAAACAATCTCACTGCCCAAGGACAACACAAGTATGACCTCTGGGTTGTAAATTCAGAGAAGTTATAAGACCTTGGGTAATAATTGGACAGCCAGTGTCTTGACTCTCTAACGTCAGGGCTGTTAGCCTGGATAATCATACTCACTCTGGCCATCCTTCAAAGGTGGAGACAGTGAAGAGGGCCATCATGGCTGCCAGAACATTGTCAAAGTCAAACTTGCTGTTCTCCCAGCTTCGAGGCTGGATAATGGGGTGGTCAACCTCTCCATCTTTGTATGTGATATAGTTACCCCTGAGAAAGGAAGATAAAGGTAATCACAGGGTGTCCCACATCTCTACCATCAATGATTTCTGGCATGCTGGGTGGGATGCAACCACGTTACCCCAGCAATCAGAAAAATCAGTGGCTTGACCTTTGAGGAATGAAGTCACATGTCACAAAAATGAGGTTAGATATTGAGATGGGTGAGAGGACAGTCTTCACTCCTCTCTAACCAAGCCACCAACCTCCCCCGAGTTAATCAGCTCTGGCTCGGGGAGCCTGCCAGCTTAAACTCACTTGCATTCTGCCTCCGTCTGTTTGGAACTATCTGAGCAGGTATAGAGCTTTCCCTGGAAGAAAAGAACAATGGGATTAGAGATGCTCCTCCAGGGATGGATTCAGCAGAAGATGATCAATCAGTATGTCCGGAGCACAGTCCTGAGTTCGAGCTTCGGGGTCAACAGGTGAACGATGAACAGATTCCAGATACAGAGGACACAACCCCCCATTCAGCTGAGAGCGCACTCAAACTCGAAAGCAGGAGCACCAACCTTGGAAGGCTCCGCTCTCTAGGAAGGTCTTGAGAGGAAGAAAGAGGGGATCTGGGCTTGGAGGGAGTTTATGGGAGGAAGTCAGTGGAAATTTACACAGCGGGGGTGATGGGCAGGGAAAGAGCGCTGAGGTGATGGTGAGGGACTAGCAGAACTAAAGAGATGGAAGCTGAAGAGAAGAAAGCAGCCAGGCCTCTGGCCTCAGGCTGGGTGCTGTAGCATGGGCATGGTGCTGTTACGAGTCAGAACTGCTGTGGGCTTTAAGCCAAGGACGGACAGATGGGTACCATAGGATAAAAGTTATCTGGAAAGAAGGGCAGCTAATCGAAGGGTGGTACAACAGAGAGCACAGTTAGCTGGGAGAGGCAGAGCTGACGTCCCTCTACTCTCTTGGTCTGGAAAGCGCAAGTAGGTTGTGGTCTGAGACTACACTGCCTCTCAGTCTGATTGACAGGTTGTGGTCTGAGGTCACACTGCCTCAGTCTGATTGACAGGTTGTGGTCTGAGGTCACACTGCCTCAGTCTGATTGACAGGTTGTGGTCTGAGGTCACACTGCCTCAGTCTGATTGACAGGTTGTGGTCTGAGGTCACACTGCCTCAGTCTGATTGACAGGTTGTGATCTGAGGTCACACTGCTTCAGTCTGATTGACAGGTTGTGGTCTGAGGTCACACTGCCTCAGTCTGATTGATAGGTTGTGGTCTTAGGTCACACTGCCTCAGTCTGATTGACAGGTTGTGGTCTGAGGTCACACTGCCTCAGTCTGATTGACAGGTTGTGGTCTGAGGTCACACTGCCTCAGTCTGATTGACAGGTTGTGGTCTGAGGTCACACTGCCTCAGTCTGATTGACAGGTTGTGGTCTGAGGTCACACTGCCTCAGTCTGATTGACAGGTTGTGGTCTGAGGTCACACTGCTTCAGTCTGATTGACAGGTTGTGGTCTGAGGTCACACTGCCTCAGGTCTGATAGACTGTAGTCAGAGGTCACACTGTTCTGCACACCTGACTTAGACTGCTGCCCCCTCTTGGATCTGTTGGCTCCCTTCCCTGGGAATGCTGATGAGAGGGAAGGAGGCGGGACTTACCTTGAAGAGCTGGACCCCAATGCAGGCGAACATGAACTGCAGCAGAGTGGTGACAATTACAATGTTCCCAATGGTCCGGATGGCCACAAACACGCACTGAACCACATGCTGCAACGGGAAGAGGGAATGGGAAGCAGATAAGGTTTCAGCCTAAGCAGCCTTGAGCTAGTCCCTGGGCCCGTCCACACAGGCAGGGTAGGCAGATCCTATGCTCCAAGTGAGAGGAAACAGACTTCCAGACGCCAGACAACCTTTCCAGTCACACTGACAGAACTCATACAATGCAAAGGGCCCCTTGGACTCTGGGTGGTGACAGACGTACAAGTTCTTCCAAACTCCTGTCTGAGTGGTGAAAAGACCAAACAATGTTAACTCAAAAATGGCTTCTCCCTTGCTTTAACCCTACCTTTGAATCCTACCTAAGTGGAAGGGCACTATGTGTGCTCTGTTTGTCTGCTGAGCCAGCTAAGCAGCAAATGAGGGAAGTTCAACTGCCCCGAAGACCGCTCCTTGGGGCCGGGCCTGACTGTTGGTGGGAGAGAAAAGATTTCACAGTTTCAGATGGGAAGTTCCTTCCCACCTCTCACTTGGTGTGCACTTGTGCAAGGTCTACCCGCTCCTTCAGCGTGTCAGAGACAGCTCTGAGAGCCTCTTCAGGTACAGTCTTCCCTTTCAGGAAGACTCCGATGGAATAGGGACACCCCTCTCTGTTCTCCTTTTCCCAGCCAGGGTTTACCCCTCTCCTTGGGGTGCTGGGGAAGTGTCCCCTTCATCTGCCTTATGCTGCCCTTTTCACTCCTCACAACCGTTTTTCTCTTCCCTGTATCTCTGATGGTTAATGTTAATTATCATTTGACAGGATCTGGAATCACCTAGGAGACATCCTCCAGGCCCAACTATGAGGGATTAATTAGCTTCTGGGTGTGCCTGTGAAAGGTTATGTTGATTAGGTTAATTGAGGTGGGAAACCCTATACTAAAATTTGGGCAGTAACATTCCCTGGGCTTGGGTCCTGGTCTGCATAAAAAAAGAGGAAGCTAGCTGAACACAAGCATTCATCACCCTCCGATTTCTTATTGTCATGTGACCAGCAGCATCAAGCTTCTGCTGGTTGACTTTGCTGCCATTATGTACTGTACCCTTGAACTGTGAACTGAAGTAAATCATTTCTCCCTTGATCTACTTTAGTCAGAGTACATATTTTATCACAGTAATAAGAAAAGAAGCTAAGACACCATAGGTGCTACCATGGGAAATGCTCAACTGATCCCTCTAAACACTCCCCTTTGGGTTGTCTACTCTACTTCATAGATAGGGAACATGTGGCTAAAATGTTGACATATATGCCTGTGATTTTCCTTTCTGGCTAGAATTTCTGATCTGAGAGGAAGTCAGACTTTAAAGTTTCCCCAGGATAATGAAGTTCTCTTCTCCTAATATTTGATAGTTAAATCCTGATTATTCCAAAGACATTCATGTCACTATTTGCACCAGTGGGCTAATCCTGCCAGGACACTCATCATTTTACCACAGAGTTTAAAGCTCGGAAAGATCGATGATTACTTCTCTCCTCTGGTAGCATGTATAGCACTTTCCAGCACCATGAAAACTAGCCAGTAGGGATAAAGCTTCCAGGTCAGTTTGATTTCTCCATGTTACATGACTCAAGTATGTGGTACCTTCAACAGTAGGGTCTTAGCATTAAGCTCTGGAGGGTAACCAAGAATAATGGCAATAGCCTATAATGTTTGGGGGTTTATAGTACCCCACTGGCCAACAAGTCCAAAAGAGGTAACCTACTCCTGGTACTAGATTCTTTATTTGCTGTCCTGTGGTATCTAGTAGGAGCATTGTTCCTGCTCTTGTTATAGGGTAACTCCATTTAAACTGTTTTCATATGTATATATAATGTATCTTAGGAATCTTCTATAGTAGGTTTCCATATGACTTCTTCAAAGGCCTTTAATGTTAGTTCTCCCGTCTCCATAATCCCTCTTAGATCCTGCCAATGTCCCTGACCCATTTAATCATTCCTGTTTCCATAACACATTCTTCCAAGGCTCAGGGGGTGAACCTAGAAGAGCGGGCAGAAAGATTGTAAGAGAGGCAGTGGATGGCAGCAACAAAACTGTTTTATGAACACAACGGGGCAGTTGTACATCTTAACTCACAGAAGTTATGACAACCTGTCCAAGACCTGCAAAAGTTCAAGCCAGAAAAACTCCAGCATGGAGGAGAGAGGTTGGCACAAAGTTCCTTCCTCTAGCCGAGGAACTATTGGCAAGTGATGGCTGTTGGGAGAAGGAGAGCCCATTTACTTTAAGGGTATGACTCCTGTAAATCAGCCATGATCCAGGGGATGGCCTCATACTCAAGAGTATTTGGGCAGCCCAAATCAAGACTCATAGGTTACAAAAAACAGGAGGATATGAAGTTGGGTGGGCAGGGAGATGGGGGTGGATCTAGGAGACATAAGGGGAGCAGGGATGAATAGGATCAAAATATATTGGATGAGATTCTCAAAGAATTAATGAAAATATTATTAAAATATTTTCAATAAAAAGGTTGTAAAGCTTAAAATATAAAAAAAGAGATGACACTGGTATGACTAAATTGGCTATAATGAAAGGTTATTAAAAATTCTTAAGGTCAAAATTCAATACCCCGAGATAAAATTGATGGTTGAGTAGAATTAAAAAAAGAAAAGGCCCAGCGAACAAGGCTATTCTATTCTATCCTTTTATCAAATAAACCATTTAAAACTTAGTGATTAGATTTCATACAAATGTTAAAATACTAAGACTGTGTGTTTACCAATGGGGTAAAGCCTTCTTTAGCTGGATGGCTGCCACCTCAATAATAGGAGAAAGCTTATTAAAAATAATTACTTGAAAAAATTATTCCTACTTGGGGGACATGTTTGTTAAATAATGACAAAACTTATTTTAGTAGACAACATTTAAATCTATTTTAAAAGTTTGATCTATTATACACAATTCTATCCCCCTGCCTATGATCTTCAGTCTCCTAGCTTGGTGGGTAAGTAACCACATTGCACTAGCTGTTGAAAACTAAAGCTTTAGCCGGGCGGTGGTGGCGCACGCCTTTAATCCCAGCACTCGGGAGGCAGAGGCCGGCAGATTTCTGTGAGTTCGAGGCCAGCCTGGGCTACCAAGTGAGTTCCAGGAAAGGCGCAAAGCTACACAGAGAAACCCTGTCTGGAAAAACCAAAAAAAACAAAACAAAACAAAACAAAAAAACCTAAAGCTTTTGCTCCCTTCGCCTATGACATTCTTGTTGGCTCTGTGAAATCTAAGATCTACTTATCCTTTTGGAAAACATTTATTATTTCTTTATAAAATAATTATTAGGCGTCCCATTAAAATTAAGTTAATCAACAAACCATCTTGTCCTTTTTTTTTTTTTTTTAATTTGACCCAAGCTAGACTTATCTGGAAAGGTGAACCTCAACTGAGAAAATGCTTCCATCAGATTACTTATAATGTGGGATTAATGATTTGTGTGGGAAGGCCCAGCCCACTGGGGGCAGTGCCACTTGCAGACAGTTCTGAGTTGTATAAGAAAGCAGGCTGAGCAAGCTATGAAAAGCAAGCCAATAAGCAGCACTCCTCCATGGCCTCTGCCTCAGTTCCTGCTTTCTGGTTCCTGCCCTGACTTCCCTGTATGATGGACTACAACTGTGAGCTGAAATAAACCCAAGTTGGTTTTGGTCATTATTATAGCTAACCTTGGTTGTTAACTTGACTATATTTGGAATCAATGAAAACCCAAACAACCTGGGCATGTCTATGAAGAATTTTCTGGATTGGATTATTTGAAGTGGGAAGATCTCCCTAAATCTGGGCCACACCTTCTTGTGGCAGCCCACATAAAAGGACAAGGAAGAGGAAACTTTTGCCTTTTGTCTGCTTGCACCCTCTTTCACTGGCAAGTGCATCTATCCTGTGCTGAGGCATTCCTTTGCTGGTGACAGAACCTACTTCTTTGGGATTCCAATGAAAAACCAATAGCAGCATCACTCTAGGACTCCCTTGGGACTCCAGCATGAGACTGGGACTGCTGAGACATTCAGGCTCCTGGACTGAACAGCTACAGAATCCTTGACCTTTACATTGTAAGACAGCTATTGTTGGACCTCTTAGACCACAGAGCATAAGCCACTCTAAGAAATTCCATACACATAACTCTACCACACTGCTCCTTTAGAGAACCCTGACTAATACAGTCGTAGAGCTTATCATAGCAATAGAAAACTAAATAGGACAAACATTTTTACCAGGTACATGGGCTATTGCTGTGACCACCTGACCATGTGGTTTGCAGAAAGACTTTGAAACCTTGGACTGGAAACACCATTTAGTGCCCATAGCTTTACTAGGATGTTATAGGAGCTTGGATGACAAGAATGCTGTCAGGGATGCAGATGATAGAGAGGCCTGGCTTGTGATGTTTCAAAAGGAAGCAAAGACTAGCAGGGATGTTTGAGTGACACTTTGAATCAAGAATCTATAGTTTCGGTTAGCTGGAGCTGAAAAATCAGCTGTGTTTAACAAGAGACCAGCACCGTTAAAGTGAAACCTTTGTTTTGATGGGACAATCAATGCTGGTTATCTGGAGCTGAGAAATTAGCAGTAATTAAGAAGAGACTGGCATCACTGAGGTGAGTCTTCTGGGAGTATTTTCTCAGGGTCAGCACACAGAAGCTGTGGTCCAAAGAGGGCCAAGGCTGCATCTCAGGTTGGCAGCTGAAGGTAGTAGTGGTTTTGGAGGCATGAAGGGGTCATGGAGAGTAGCTGAGGCCTGGCACTGGGTAGAAGGGCTGGAGTCCCTGAAGAGAGGTTTGGAAAGGCCAATGGTGAAGGTATAGCTTTAGCTGCAGTGAGGACCCCAGAATACTGGAGATAACAATACCATGGGGTGACCGCCAAGGACCAGCCTAAGCCTATGAGATGAGCTGGAGCTCAGAAGATCATGAGTGAGGCCCAGATGTTAAAGCATTTAACTTTTCACACTGCTTATTTTTGATTTTGCTTTTATTTGATTGTGACTGTGCCCTGGTTCTTCCCTCTTGGAATATGAAAGTATTTAACTTAGTTTGAATTTTATAGGAGCCCACAGTTAAAAGATGGAACTTTTAAAGAAATACTGGATTTTTAGAGCCTTTGGACTTTCAAATGCTGAAAAATTTAAAGACCATGAGACTTATAAAGTGATACTGTGTTTTACATTGTGATATTGATATTAATATTAATATGATATCTTAGGGATAAATGAGAAAGGAAACTTCATGGTTTAATAGCATTATGTTTGTGTGTCAAATTAACAAGGAGCCAATTGTCCCGGGTGGTTTGTCAACTTGACATAAGCTAGAGTTATCTGGGAAGAGGAACCTCAATTGAGAAAATGCTTACATCAGATTTCTGTAGGCAAGTCTATGGGACACTTTTTTGGAATAATGACTGATGTGGAAGGGCACAGGCCACTGGAGGTGGTGCCACCCCCGTATGCATAATCCTCAGCTGAATAAGAAAGCAGGTTGAGCAAGCCACGAAGAGTAAGCCAGAAGGCAGTATTCCTCCATGGTTTCTGCTTCAGTTCCTGCATTGAGTTCCTACCCTGACTTCTCTTTATGATGGGCAACAACTGTAAGCTTAAATAAACTCTTCCTCAGGTTGCCTTTGGTCATGGTGTTCATCACAGCAAAAGAAACCCAACCAAGATGCATCTTTGTTAAAGAGAGACATAATCTGTAAAGAAAATGAAATTACAAAATTCATAGAAAAATGGTTGTATCTGGAAAGTATTATACCACATGAGGTAGCCCCAACTCAGAAGGACAAAAATTGTATGTTTTCTCTCATATGTTGGTTGTTAGCTTCAAATATTGTGTTATGTGTATTTATCCTGGAGCACTTATGGAAGTCTGGGAACTAGCAACGGTCTAGTGGATGGGGAATACACTAATGAAGAGAAGTAGATTATAGAATTAAAGTAGAGAAGGGAGATACTGGGGACAGAAAAGTTTAAGCAGGTATTGCAGTGATGGGGCTGAAGAAAGAAGGGGTTGGAGAAAGGGTGAAGCAAAATGAAGTGTGCATGAAGAAGCCACATGGGAACTATGACCTTGACACCAAAGCACACATTATAACAAAATGGGAGAGTAGAACACATATGAAAGAATGGGGTCATGGATCTTGAGAGATGGATATGAGAACAAGGAGGTTGGGAAAATCAGAGGTAGAGTGGGCTAACCAAAATTAAGGCCATACAAAGAAGTCTTATGAAATTCCACTAGTTTTATCAAAAGAGTTATGAATTCCAGCATGGAGGGGGAGTGGCTCCTGATACCTGACCCTAGCTGAGGAGCTAATGGCTCTTGATGGCTGCTGAGGGACAGGATGGAGAGTCATTTTTCTTTGAAGAGTGGGGGGGGGGCTAGCGCTTGGTAGACAGCCAACACCCCAATAGATACCCTTCTTCCACATGCCCATATGAGCAGCATTAATTGGACTTAATTTGTGAGTTGAGAAGAAGACAAGAAATTGGGAGGGAGATGGGAGATATTGGCAGCAGGTAGTGGAGAGGGGGTAGGAAAGGAGGGGGATGGATAAGGCTGAGATACATTGTACATATGTCTATAAATTTTTCAAAAGAAAACAAGTATAAATTTTTCAAAAGAAAGCAACTGGTACCACATGAAAACATGGTCTTCGCAGATGAGTGGATAATATATATGTGGTACATATACACGGTGGAATTATTTTCATCATAAAGAAAAATTAATGAAATTTGTAGGAAAATGAATAGAACCGGAGACCACTGTATTACGTAAGGTGATCCGGCACAGAAAGACAGCAACTGCACATTCTCTCATTTGGACCCTGGCTTCTAATGAAGTCTGTGTATTTAGGTGGGAGCAAATGTGGGCCATCTCCAGGAAACGAGAAAGGAGACAATGAGATGGGAAGACAGAGGCTTCAAGGAAGGGATAGCAGAAGACGTGAGGTATGAAAGTGGAAGCAGGTACTGAGGGCAGAGAGACACAACGGGGAAGCGGGCAGGAGGTGATGGGGGAGAAGTGAGAAGAGGGGAGCTGATCAATTCGAGGGAAGTAGGAGAGCTCCATAAGGAGAAAACCTGCTATGCTGTAGACCAATTCAAATAATAAGTGAATAAGTAATTAAACACCAACAAAAACATGGTATTTGAAGCACCCAGATTATGATTACTCATATTTGGATCCAAAATAAACTACCTCTTGTTCTCTTTAAGGGAAAATCTGTGGGGTTTTGTTTGTTTGTTCGTTTGTTTATTCATTGCGTTGACAAGGGTTTGGAAGACCAAACGGTATGATAGTTAACTCAAAAATGGCTCCTCCCTTGTCTTAGTCCTACCTATCTGAATGCTACCTAAGTGGAAGAGTACTGTGTGTGCCTTGTGACATCTGTCTGCTGAGCCAGGTAAGGAACAAATGAGGGAAATTCAATTGCTCTGAAGGCCAATCCCTGGAGCCAGTCCTGTGACTGCCCTGTAGATGCCTCCTAGGAGCCAGTTAGGAGAACCATTCAACACTACATGGACGCTAGAACCTGGGAAGGGAGGGCCAGCGGCTTCCTAGTATCTTGGCCCCTCTCTGTCTATATCAAGTCAGTCAACTTCTTTGCTTATGCTCTCTTGATGCAACTTCTTTGCTTATGATCTCTTGATGCATCCCAGCCTCAGTGTCTACCTTGCCAAGAATCAGGTACACAGATATGGACTCATCACCTGAGATATCTGCGGGAGGGGGCACAGCCCCTTGAATCATTTTGCTTAAGACAGTCAGTCACTCTACCATGGTTGACACTCATCTACCCGTCCTGTAGCCCATCTGTCACCTCCACTGCCACCAGCTAGAAGGAAAGCTAATGTTTACTTCATTGATGGCTGCCCACGCAGACCTTCTCACTTTACCTTTAGCCCCTTGGCCCTGTTGATGGCCCTCAGGGGCCTGAGGACCCGCAGCACTCGTAAAATCTTCACAACGTTGATTGCGCTGGACCTGGGAGAGAAACAGGGTGGGCGGTCAGTTCCCCTACCTGGGTTAGAGCAGAGAATGGTCTGGGCAGATGCTGTTCTGACTGACTGGTCCTAGATGGACACTAGATAGATAGATAGATAGATAGATAGATAGATAGATAGATAGATAGGTAGGTAGGTAGGTAGGTAGGTAGGTAGGTAGGTAGGTAGGTAGATAGATAGATAGATAGATAGATAGATAGATAGATAGATAGATAGATAGATAGATAGATAGTGTAGACTCTGTTTTGGGGACTGAGAACTTCTATCACTCACTGCTAAAAACCTGTGGCCTCTTTGTGACCCTGGAACTTTCCTGATAGTAAAGACACAGAAGGAGGAGAGGGGACAGATCAGGGTGAAGGCTTGCTTGGCATGCTTGAGGCCTTCTTTTGACCTCCAGTCCTGGTATAGAAAAGGTTGGGGTACAAAAACCAAGTCATTGGCAATAAAATATGTGAGTTAAGAGGTATCTACAGTGTCAAAAAAGACATGCATGCAGTCCCCACTGCTGTGACCTGCCACCTGAATCACTCAGGACACATTTCTTAATTTTCTGTACCCTGGTTTTTCATCTGGAAAATGGGGCAGTGGTTAGCTCCAAGGATTGTTTCAGGGATTGAAGGAGAATTTACGGACATCAGTAGTAGGGACTTGGCACATATTATAAATCTATCAAGTAAAATGGCAGTTTTCACTATCTTGCCTGCTGAAGACATCACCACGTTATATACCAAATAAATGCACATTGATGGTGAAACTTCAGACCTTGTGATTGGAGGTGGTAGACATGGGGAAGGAATCCTGGAATATTTCCAAACACAATGCCTGGGTCATTGCCCACTACAATATATAAATTCTACCATGGTTCAGGACATGCTTAGACTTCCATGAGGCAGTGGTGTGCCAGAAAAAATTTCAAAGTGGTGTCCCAAGAAACACAGAATGCCAAGGTCATGCCAGAATATCTGGGTGCCTTGGGCTACTTCCTGGTGAGGAGAGGTGACAGGTAACCCCATAAGCCCTTCATCGAGATGGCTAGATGGTGTCCATCTGTCCAACCCAAGTGGAAGTCATTAACCACACTCAGCTGTTGAACAGCATCTGAAGTGGATTCCGACCTGAGGTGCTGTCTAATTAAGTGGATTCCGACCTGAGGTGCTGTCTAATTAAGGCATCTTCTCCAGCATCTGACAAGAGGACTCAACCTTGCCTGGGAACCAAAAAGAGGGTCTGATGTGTTGGAAAGTGCTGATTTTCTTCTTCCTATGTCAAGAGGGAGCTAGTACAAGAATTCAATTTCTCTGGTTCCATGGGTCTTTATTTCAAAAGACACAAAGGAAGTTCCTCTCTGTCGCTGTTCCCACAGCATCCCTGGGAGGCAGGCAGTTTGCACCGCCTCACAAGGGAATAATTTAAAGGACAGATTTGAAAACAAAACAAAACAAGACAAAAATCAGAACAAACAAGAGGTATTGTTGGTTCAAAGTGAAACAGTGATCTTGGTAGCACTGAGGTGGGAATCTAGATGTCCAGGCTCCCAGGGAGAAATTTTAGGTAACATAATTGATGACCAAAGAAAAGGGTCTCACTTCCATGGCCCCCATATCACAACAGGGGCTAACCATGAACCAACCTTGGGAAGGGAGACCCAAGATGCCTGGAGTACAGCCTTTCTTGGCTTAGTCTCCTAATGCCCTGAACACCAAATTTTATAATAGCATTTCCTTGCCTACCTTATAGGTAGGAGTGTGTGTGTGTGTGTGTGTGTGTGTGTGTGTGTGTGTGTGTGTGTGTGTGTACACCATGGAAGAACAGATGTGTGAAAATGTTTTAAAACTCAAAAGTGTAGGATTAAAAAGCACAGCTGTTAGACTAGGTAGAAACTCAGAATCAAATTTCTTTCAAACCTGAGCAAAGTTTGCAACTTGACCTTAGAGGGACTCAAGCTAGAGAGTTTTATAACTCATACCCTGTCCTTGTGCATCTGAACCTCCAGGGGTAAGATCTAGGAAAAAGGCATTCTTTTTAACTTGCCCAGAAGGTTCCTCTGTGCAGCTAAGATTAAGAATCAGTGCTCCCCACTCTCCTCCTTCTTAATCTCTCTCTTCCCCTTCTCTCTCTATAACAGAAGTGCATACACCTCCCCCCGCCCCCCCCCCCCCCCGTGTGTGTGTGTGTGTGTGTGTGTGTGTGTGTGTGTGTGTGTGTGTGTGTGTGTGTATGGGCTTTGACTGAAGACGGAAGTGGGAATCAGAGAAAGAGGCTGAGCTAGGTCAGGGTAGGTCAGAGCAATGGCAGGTTTTGTCAGCTCTAGGGCAGCCCCAGGCCTTATTCACAGTGAAAGAGACTCAGGGAGAGGAAGGTACCGCAGATGTCTGTTTGTTTATAATGGGGCCTGAACCTGCCATGACAAAAATCTAGACATTTAAACAAATTCTTGTGGATCAATACACCCCAGGTATCAGACCATGAAAGATATAGACATAAGAAATTAAGTAGGACCTGGTGGTGCAGGTCTATAATCCTTGCTACTCAGGAGGCTAGAGCAGGGAAAGTCATAAGTTCAAGGTCAGCCTGGGTAAACTTAGTGTGATCTATGCCAAATAAAAAGTAAAAAGAGTGGTAGCTGTTGTTTAGTGGTGGAGCACTTGCCTAGCAAGTTAGGTCCTGTGTTCAATCTCAAGTACCACAAGGAAAGAAGGGAAGAGGAGGAAGAAGAGGAGGAGGAAGGGGAGGAGGGGGAGGAGATAGAATCAAAACAAACATTGTGTGCTCTTTGAGGCTCCACCCCATTCCAATCATAGTCACACTGTGAGAGTCCAGCAAGGAGGCCCTCCGGGGCTTGGCAAACTTCTTTGACACCCACTCCTAGCTGCTTGCCCACATCTTGGGTTGAGGGACTCACTGGATGCCAAAGGAGATGAGGGACACGCTAACCACCAGCAGGTCCAAGATATTGAAGTAGTTTCGGCAGAACGAGCCCTTGTGCAGGAAAGCCCCATAAGCAGTCATCTGTAGGAAGGGAGAGAGCATGAGTGAGTGAGCTGCCCAGATGCCACGCTTCCTGCCTACAGCATCAGCATCCCCGGGGAAGAGCCCAAGCACTGCACAGGGACAGCAGAAAGAATCAAAGGTGACGCAGTGCCAGGAAACTCCTCCACCATTCATTCCACTCCCGAGGAACTTCCCCAGTTCAGGACATTAAGTAGTTCTGACAAACCCAAACCCTTTCCGATCGGCACCATGACACCTCCCTAACACTCCACTGTCCTTCATCCCCAGGCCAACATGGCTTCACCCTGCAGGGTCCTTTGCTGCTTCTGTCTAGGTTATGTTCCCACTGTGTGCAGGCCTCCTAACTTCCTTTCCACATCTCACCCTCTGAGCCAGCTGAGACACTAGGCATCAATGGAAGAATGAGACATGCCCAGATGGGTGTCCAGCTATCCAGATTTGTCCAGGATTTAATTGGATTCACCATAAAAAAAATCCCATACTCTAGAAAATCTCTGTGGTACCAATAGCTATAGTTAGCCTCTCTCTACACATTGGTCTTGGTAGTGCTTAGGATCTCTGTCAAATGTATAAGCTCAATGCTACTGTCTGGCTTCTGGACTATATATGGAGTCTTTTAAAGAGTAGGAACTATGTTCAGAGGGGCAAGGTGGTACAGTGGTATAAAATACAGGTTCTGAAGCCAGATGACCTGGATTCAAAGCCCAACTCTACTATATTTCATGTGCCTCATAAGAAAAAATAACTTTTCTGTGACTCATTTTCTTCATCTGCATCTTAGGATAATGGTAACACTTGCCCCATGGGTTATGAATATCCATGGAGTAATTATACATACAGTACTTAGGACATGTTTCTGCACATGACAAGCTTCACCTAGGTGTTCTCTTTCACTATAACTTGGATTTGAAATCTATACTCTTCCCGTACAAGAGAAGTTGTGTGAGTGATATTTCATGTTTTTGCATGGGTCAGGCAGTAAAACAAAGGGAACAGTCTCTGAAAATGTTCAGAACGAGAACATGTAAGCTCATGATTGTTGTTTTAGGGTCTCACTAACATTGTCTCCCGAGCTGACGATGCTTGTAAGAAACTGTACCCTGTACACTCCCACTTTGCTGACTGAGGTAAAGGCTCACAGAGACCCAGGAGGAACCTGTATAGAGCTACAGGCCATGAAGCATTTGCCCAAGAAAAAATTTGGAACGGATGGTTGAGAGACCAAGAGCAGTTTCCTGGTCATCTGGAGCCCAGTTTTTCTCTTTGGAATCAGAGCATGTCCAGGGTGGTACACCAAAAGACCAATACAAAAGCCAACATGGGAAAATTGGCAAAAATAGCTCTTGTGACCTAATTCTTTCCATTTATCTCCAGCAGCAGGAGATCACAGGGGACTTGGGAATCTGTGTTCTGCAGCAGTTTTTAGAAGTGCAGAGATTATATAAAGGGTTCTGGGGTAATATGGCTACAGATCCCTCCCAAAGACTACAATCTGGAGGGCTCACTGTCCTACGTCTCTGTGAAGACCTGGACCCCAGACAGTAGAGTTAAGTGGCTGCCACAGTTCATATTCACCAGAAAGTTTTGGACAGGGGGACAATGTGGCTCATAGCACAACTTCTGTCTCTTGACTTTGGGCTTGTTTTGTCTGGGACCCTAGAAGTAGAAGAGCCCTTTAGAATGCATGAGAATGTTGGGTGGGAGCAATGGACATGTGCCCAGGTAAGATCAGAGTAAGAACAGGGTGAGAAAGGGTAAGTAGATCTTGGAAGAGAGAACATTTATTTGAAGTCTATGTGCATTCAAGGCGCCAGAAAAAGCCAGGTCCAGATACCTGTGCAAGTGACCTTCTTCTACCCTGTGTTACTGATTGTCATTCACCTGGCCCCTGCTTCCTGAAAACTTAAAGCCATTTCCCAGGAAAGGCCTGGGCCTAATCATCTATATACTGAGGAAGGACTGGAACGAGACAAAAACTTCCAAGTTCTTTGGGCTGTGGGTGAAGTTGTCTCCTACCATCCAACCCAGACCAAGGTGTACCTCTAGGGACAAGTCACCCCGTCACTTCTGTCACTTCCCTGGCCGGTTCTGACTCTACTTTCTTTCTCTTCTACAGAACAGCCCTTTCCATGATTTGGACTAACTGATATGCTCCTACCTGTCCTGTTCTTTTAAAGACAAATGGCCCCAGACCCTTCAACAGTTCCTTAGGGCAAATGATGCTCTGGGCACTGTCACAATCAGTGCCGTGGCATGATACAGGGCCTCCCAACTGGGAGGTGTGGGAAGTGGGCTGAGAATGCAGGCAGGAGTATTCAGAAGCACAGTGAGCGGAAAAGAGACTGGAAGCCAAAGGAAGAAGTGGGGGAGGGCTTGCCATGGCAATGCTTGCAGAGATTCTCACTTCCGCTTGCATGGCAATCTTAAGGAGAAAGCACCATTGAAATCCTCAAGTGAAGCTCGGCATGGGGTCCTGAGAACTGGGTCTCAGAGATTTTCCTGTCCTGGGAAAGATCTGCCAGCACCTGCATGCGACCTCGAGTCTAGGGTGCAGCAGCAAAGGGGCTCACCATGGAAAGGGAGTCCTTTCCAGGAGGAATCTGAATGTCGGCTCTGGGTACCCACTTCCAGGAATCTGTCCCCCGTCTACTCTCTCTGAGCAGGAAAGAAAAACCTGAGCCACACAGGTGGTGAGCAAGGGAAGCTAAGGGTCAGTACCACTGAGCCTCTGAGATATAAGGACATCCTGGTAGGCACACAGATACTGCCCAACTCAAGTCGTATCTGGATGACTCAGAAACGCCAAGCCCACTAAACGGCTGGCCATGATCTGAGGGTTTCGTCAGGAAAAGAAAGGTCTGTAGCTGGCACTGGTGCACACTCAGAGTGGACAGCAGCTTGTATCTACCCCAAGGATGAGCTAAAAGAGAGGCCTGAGATTTTTGGGAGAGGGTGTCCCAGGCAAGGGTCCCAGGAAGATGCTTAAGCTGAAGTCTGTGCTTAGAGACTATGGCTCATCTGTTCTCTCCAAGAGTAAACCCTCCCCCTTGCTCAGAGGAAGCCAATATTACCCAAGGTCCTACAGCTCAGACAGACCACCAAGGCCATGCCTTGTTTAACAGGTGCAGACGTAAAAGTAACGCCCTGTAAAAAGACCTCTCTCATCTGAGCTGCAGGTTACCAGGGGGCTAGAGCAACCGGTTACCAAGGGGTTATACGACTCAGCCGCGATGTTGGTTCCCAATCCTGCTTCAGGTCCATCATTACTATTACACGGCCCCAACTTCTGCTAGGCCCTCATGTTCGCCTTGGTACTGAGGAAGGTGTTGATGACAAGTCTCCCAAGAGAGGGGCCAAAGTGACTCCTTCCTGCTCCAGAGGTTTGGCCTTTCTAGAGCCTGTGTGGCATGTCCTCTATGCAGGAGGAGGGAGGGAGAGAGAATTTCAAGTAGGGCTCAGCCCCCGACTGGCTGGAGAAGGTACGTGCGAACGTGTGTACTGAGCACCGCTGACAGGCAGCATGCGCAGTCAGTGACGGGACAGCACCCAGGGTGACACAGCCAGGGCGTGACTTGTCTAGGCCTAGAACTGCTGCTAAGGGAGCAAAAGGGAGCAGTGTGGTAGAGTAGATTTCTCCTGGCATCTGAGCTGGGGGCGAAGTGACAGCATGAAGTGAGGACACCAGAGTCAGAGAGTGAAGGGAACAGAAGAGTCACCAGACAGAGCAGAGACACAGAGAGACGGAGACACATGGCTCAGGGGCATTACCTTAAGGATAATTTCTAATGTAAAGATACTAGTGAAGACATAGTCTGCATTGCCTAGGATCTGAAAAATAAGCAGAATTGGATTAGTGGCTCTGAGAGGGCACCCACCACCACCAGGAGCATGTGTTAGCAACAAGACAGACAGCAGCAGAGAGCTGGGACTGGCGGACGGAGGAAGGAAGAGAGAGGGAGATGGGGCTTTACCTTCAGAGCAATTTCAATGGTGAAAATGGTAGTGAAAACAATGTCAAAATAAAACAGAATCTGCAAAACAAAAACAAACAGGATGGGGAGGGGGGGCAGGACACAAGCAGGAAAGGGGAGAGGTCAGTGGATGTTCACCAGAAAAGGAAAAGCACTTCAAAACAAGGTGCATCCCCTGCACACCACCAGAGCCTTTCCACGTGGAGACAGGCGAGGAGACAGACAGGAAAGACTTCCCAACATGAGTTCCCACTCAGGGCTAGCGCAGGTGGCTCTGGCTCGGGATGGCGTCTGCAGGCAGGTAGGGGGAGCTTCCAGGGCAGGCCTCAACAGGATCCAGGCCTCAACAGCACCTGTCTGGATGCTTCTGTCATCCACCCAATTTACTTATAAACCCAGAGCAGACCATGGGCTGTTGGTCAAGAGAGCAGAGAATGGGTTGGTTTTTGCAGGGCCACTCGAATGCTCCGCTCTCACGTGGCTGTGGCATCCCATGTCAGAAGAGGACATTTACACTGCTGTCATGGCCTTGGGCCCTAGGAAGGAGGTCCTCCAGGTCAGCCCAGGCTGAAGACAGGCTATAGCACTGATATTTGATTTCATCTTGGGAGATGGACCAGGTCTGAGGCTACTCCTGCTGACTCAGCAAGACAGCCTGGAGCGGGCAGAATCCCAGAGCTGAGAACTTCGTTTATAGACATGGCTTTAGAGAGTGGCTCTTTTCTCCATGCCTGTGTGGCTGAGATTTAATAAAGCTTTGGGATTTTGAAGCAAATTCTTATTTTATATTTAATATATAGCAATTCTTATTTTAGTATTTCATGTTGATCACTAGAGCCTTGGATAGCTCCAAACAGATTTACTCTTGAAGCCTATCACAGTCCTTATTTTTCTTATAAGGTTAGCCTTACCATTGGCACCTAATTGCCAATGCTCCTTCTTAGTCAGAGGGAATGGGAGCAGGGCATGAAACCAGTGGCCACATTGTTGACTTACAGGCAACTTGAGCTTCCTGGGGAACATCCACAGGCAACAAGATGCCTGACCACTGTCCATTATCAACTAGCCAGATGCATTGGGTACATGCTCACTTGCTCAGTGAAAACTCCCAGGCTGGGGTTTCTATCAAAGTCCTAATCTCTTAAAGGACTCTTTGCTGTATACGGATTCTGAGGTTCAGAACAGGCCTCCTAACTGAGCAATGAAGTCAGCAGCAGAAGCCGTGGGCCCGTTCCACTCTCAGAAGGACAGGGTACAGAGAACAAAACAGAGTGCATACATGGTTCCTGAAGGAGGTGTGCTGGACGGGGTCCTCAGCAGCCAGCGAGATGCTGCTGAGCAGAATGAAGAAGAGGATCAGGTTGGTGAAGATGGTGTCATTGACGATGCGGTGGCACTGGAGGCGGAACCTGTGTGCGAAGGAGGGAGAGGAAAGAGATGTCACGAAAGGTGGGGCACTAGCTGAGCCTCAGGAGCCTGTCTCTGGGTCCTTCTAATACACAGACAGGACAATTTCAGTACTGCTGAGCCCCAGTGTCTTAAGGTAAACGGACTTAGTGAAGTATCAGAGGTAGTAACCACGGGCTGACACACATGAATTCACACATGAAATCCCGGGGGAGGAAGTAATCGCAGACCAACTGATTAGCAACCCAGGACTCTCCTAATTTGGTGTCTCCACATAAGTCATGGGGAGCTGGAAGGACCTAGGCTTCTCCTGTAGGTTGGATACAGTCTTGTGCTAGGTTCGGATCCAGGAGGAAGCAGTTTCCTTTCCTCGTCATTCTTACACACCTGTTGTTTGGGCTGAAGATGAAAAACGCACTGGCTTCTGGCATGGGCACTGCCTTTTCCTTAAGGTGCAGTTCAGACAGGGGCCGGGGGCGTGGCCCCACAGGCATCTCAGGCTCCTCCTCATCCTCTTCGCCTGTAAGAAAGAGCAAAAGCTCCATTCTCACCTGTGCCTCCTTCCAGACACATCTTACTGCAGGATCAAGACATCACTGGTGCCTCTGAGCAGTAGAATGCTAATCCAGGCAGATGTTCTGCCCTGCCCCATGAGGCTATCAGAGGCTTTGCTGGAAGTATATAGTACTAGGGGCCATAAGTAGGATCAACAGTATGTTCTAGTTTGTCTAAACTGTTCTGGTTTTCAAACTAAAAATCCCATATGCTGGAAAATCCCCTAGTACTGAAAAAAAAAGATGATTGGTTGCCTTGGTTGAAAGGTGCTAGAGTGCAGGCTGGGATGAAGCCCGGGCACTGCCCAGTGTCACCCATTCATCTTAGATGCAGGTGAAAAGAGGGATGGCTCAGGTGACTTGTGGAATCCCTCCGGCCAAGTCTATTCTTGAAACTCCATTGATCAAATGAGGGAACTTATTATTGTTTGGTATCCAAATTTACATGGCCACAAACTGCCTTCTAAATATTGATCTTTATGCCAATAGACAAATGCTACTTTTAGCTGTAATCAGAGAATCTTCTGGTCGCAATGGGTGGTAGTATGCATAGAGGCTCATGGTTGTCATTGGTGCCGAGAATAATTGACAGTTGCATGCTTAGTCTTAAATAGGACCTTTATATCTAAGACTCAGGGAACATGATAAAAGAATGGATAGAAGGAATATGTGAGCCTGAAGGTAGGAATAAGGGCTGCAAAACACTGTCTTCTGGGTATGACAGCCATTGCAGGTATGATCCCACAGCAGCTGAGGTTGCCTCTACTGGGCTATCATTAGTCAATCACGGATGGGAAGAAGAGACTCATGGGGCCCTACTTCTCTATGCTGAATTATTGGCTTCATTGGCTTCTGGGGGAGGGGCAGTCATTGCCATCAGCTGAATATCCATGGAAGAGCCCCACCAATGGATAGTTCCAATACCACACTCACACAGACAGCTCTGATTAAACTCAGTGTGTCACAGAACCACACAAAAAGACACGAATGTAGGGAAGGGGGTATGTACGGCAGGGGTGTAAGGGAGATGGGAGAGGTGGGGGTGGCAATCAGAGTAACCGGAATGCTCTATATGTTATAAAGATATAAAACTGTCAAAGAGCTAATTTAATTAAAATTCATTTTAAAAAAACTGAACAAATTATACTTCAAAATCCCTGTATGTTCCTATGATTTCCCAGAAAACGAGGCAGGGATAGCAGAGCTCACGCAATGACAAGAGGCCTTTGATCCTGATGTTGGACAATGACATCAAGTGAAGGGCTTCCTTTGCTCTTCTGGCCAGTGGCCAGAGCTTAGGGAAATTAAAGTCGGACAGTTCCTCCTTAGCTTGCCTCACAGCATCTATGGGGGAAGGTACTTCTGGTCAAATGTTCTTGGAAATGCACAGCCTGGGAAAGGTGGTTTGCAATGGCTGTCATATCCAGAAATACCCCAGAAAATGCCTTCATCTAAATCATGAGTCTGTTGCTTTCTGAATAATTCTTCCATTGAGTCTCCCAGTGCTCAACTTCTCCTCCGATGGAATAATAGTAATAGTACACAGGTATTTCAGAACTCTGTCTGGCATGTAGCTGAAGTTACGGAAGTGGCAGCTCTCACACTACCATCTCCACCCATAGGACAGATGCAGAGCAAATGAAATTAGTGTTCAACATCTTTCTCAGTCTCATCCTGCCTGCTCTGAATTTCTAACAAACCATCTGTTCAAATCCAATCATTTCCTGGCCAGTGACTTCAGTGAGTTGTCTAGTATTCTCCAAAAGTCATGCTCACCTAGAATTCCAGAGTGTGACCTTAGAAACAGGGTCTTTGCAGATGTAATTAGTTATACTGGACTATACTGGGCCGTACATCTAACAATAGTTGTTCTTACAAGAAGGTCTAAAGGCACACACAGGTTAGAAGGCCATGTGAATGAAGACAGAGGCAGAGATTAGCATGGTAGGTCTACAAGCTGAGCATTTCTGGCTACCAAAAGGAATTAGGAAGAGGCAAGCAAGGATTCTTTCCTTGCAGAAGGAAAACGGCTCTGCTAACATTTTGATGTCAGACATATGCAAAAGTGTGACAGAATCAACTTGGTTTATTTAAGGCCCCCGATGTGTGGTTATGTCTCAGGTTCCAGGAAGCTATAATACTACACGTGCTTTGGCCTAGGCTAAGGCCCTCCTTCTTTAGCTCCCCTCATTGCCCTCTCTGCAGAGCTGAAGTCAGCTCTGCAGAGACATGAATATGAGACTTGGAGGGGAGAGGGAGAGGGGACTCATTGGGGTAGGAGGGAAACAGGAGAGGGTAGGTAGGGAGATGAGAGTAACCAGAATGCATTATATATGTTATGAAACTATCAAGGAATAAATTTTATAAGAATATTCCTTTAAAAAGAACAAATTATACTTAAAATTAAAAACTAAAACAAAGCCCAAACACCTGCCAGCACTCATGAGGTATAGGCAGGTAGCTCTCCATGTGAGTTTGAGGCCAGTCTGGTTTATACACTAAATTTCAGGCCAGCCGAAATTCTAACCAACTGAACAAACAAACAAACAAACAAACAAAACTCAAAACCAACCAACCAAACAAACAAACAAACAAAAACACCCACCCCTATTTTCCCATTGGATCCCCAGAAAACATATGCTGCAGAGGGTAGTGTTGTGGAATATTATTTTAAGATGTGTTACATTTGTTTATGTTGTGGAACATTTTTTTTTTTAATGATGCAAAGATATGTTGCATTCTTTTATGTTGCATTTGTTTAACTCTGTGAAGTTGTGTTACTTTGCTTATCTAAAACACACGGCTGGTCGAATAAAGAGCTGAACAGCCAATAGCAAGGCAGGAGAAAGGAAAGGCAGGGCTGGATGGCAGAGAGGATAAACAGAAGGAGAAAAAGAGGGATTGAGGCCAGATGGTGGTAGCGCACACCTTTAATCCCAGCACTCGGGAGGCAGAGCCAGGCAGATCTCTGTGAGTTCGAGGCCAGCCTGGTCTACAGAGTGAGATCCAGGACAAGCACCAAAGCTACACAGAGAAACCCTGTCTCAAAAAACAAAAAACAAAAACAAAAAAAAGAGGGATTGAGGAGAAATCTGGGAATAAAAGAACTAGGATCAAGAGAAGGAGGAGGACTCCAGGGGCCAGCCACCCAGCTACACAGCAAGCTATGGAGTAAGAAGTAAAGAAAGGTACATGGGGTAAAGATAAAAGCCCAGAAGCAAAAGGTAGATGGGATGATTTAAGTTAAGAAAAGCTGGCAAGAAACAAGCCAAGCAAAGGTCAGGCATTCATAAGTAATAATAAGTCTCTGTGTGTATTTATTTGGGAGATGGGTGGCGGGCCCCCCAAAAGAGCAAAAGAGCCAAAAGAGTTAAAAAACAAAAAATTACAGAGTAGCCTTTCTCTCAGTGTCCTGAGTAGCTGTGCTTCAAGGAATGACCTCCCCATCCATCCCTCTGTTATATCCCAAGTGCTGGGGTTATATGTGTGTGTTACCACATCGGTTTTATGTGGTGCCCACGTAGTCTGTGGATAGAACCCAGGGCTTTGTGATTAAAGACAAGCATCCTACCATCTGAGCTACACCCCCAACCTAGGAGCCCTTAGTTTTGAAGATGATTAAACTTCCACACTTTCTTAAGAAACAGAACTACACACACCCACCCTTGACCTATGGAGCCTTGCCAAAGGCCCATGTGACTCTGCCAAATGACTTTGGACTTCAACCTCTGAAACTGTGAGGGAGTCAGAGCCTTTCAGCCTTACAGATTCACTGTTTCTGCTGTTTCACCACTGACAGTAAGCTGACCAACATAAGAACGAAAGAAGTAAAAGGACCATGAAAAGTGTCTACTAGAGGCTGAAAAAAAGCCAACACTCTATATTCTGCTCAGAACAATACAGCTCAAGATCATTGCCACAGACATGGGAGGTCAAGCTTGGCTCAGCTGAGTATGGGTGTGAAAAGACTCAAATACAGCATGCAGTGCACGCAGGCGGGGCTGCCTCCTACAGGCTACACGAGCTTGGGATGGGCTCTTTTCAGGGTCCAGAGTGGTGTGCTCTTTTACTGTCATTTCATTTAAACTGTAAAAACACACGCAGGAGTAGACAGACTTGTAGGGTGGCTCTATGTCTGCTTCCAACATCCACTGACATTTGGCTGAGGTAGCTTTACTTATCTTTTCTGATCTCACTTTAGGAGATTGTTGAAATGTTTTTAAAGCAACTTCCAAACACTCCAGACTCTAGACATAAACACTGTAGTATTTTAGAAACAGAATTACCACATTATTATGCTAACATGATTAACAAAAATCTACTTAAAATAATTTAGTTCCTAGTCCATATTCAATTTTCTCCCAATTATCTCAAAAACATCATTTTAAAATAGAATTAATTTATTGGGGACATAGACAAAATCTTTCCATTGCATTGAGTCAATGCTTCTAGCAAGTCTTTAATATTCTACGCAGCCTTCTCCATAAGCCTTTAGGGTTTTCAGACATCAAACCCTGGACACACTTTGCTCTTCATTGTGTGAGCCACAGACACCAAATCTTACTTCCCTTGCAGGGAAAAGAGAGTAGATGGGTGGAGGAGAAAGGGAGCTGCTTCCAGGCAGGAGGCCTAGAACATCTTTGTAGACCCAGCAGAGAACCAGAGGAGGGAAGGCAACAACATGGAGACATAGCTTTACTTAACAACATGGCTTTCTGCCGCCTCCCCGGGTTACCAGCCCAATGCAGTCTGACCTGGTTGGAGAAGAAAGGTCATTACAATCCTCAGTCATTTGCTGTGTGTTGGCTTCAAGCTTGGAGTTTGTGACAAATTGGCAGCTTGAGGAAGCAAGCCTAGGGCTCATGTTGGGATGGGGCTTCCAGAAGCTGGGATGTATATTGTGGGGGCGGGGGGCAGCCAGAGCCTCCGACCTTAAAATCCTCTGAAAGGAGACTGCCTGTCAAGTCACGCATCAGACAGATGCACAGAATCTTGTCAGCAAGAATTCCTTTTGCAACGAGAGACCTGAAAGCACTTTATGGAGCCACAAATGGGACATCTGTGATGGCAGCTGTCCTCATAGTGAGCAATGCCTTCTGAGTAATGACAAGATGGATTCTGGATTGACTATTATTAGGTGAGCATAATGCAGCAACATATGTGATACTAAAGTTGACAGTGACAGCAGCACACACGGCGGAGTGAAACCTTAAACACAACAGTGGCGTAGGAGCCCGGCTTCTTAAACTACGGGTCATGGCCCCATAAGGGGACTTGTAGCTGAATCTTGGGGGGGGGGGTTACAAAAACTTTGCCCATAGAGAAAGGCTTATGAATGTGCAACCACCAACATTTAATTCAGAAGCAAAGGCGAGATGAACTGAAGTTGCTTCCAGCAGCACCTGCTCGTGTTTCACACAGCTTTAGTGTGGCCTAGGTTCTGAACACCCAGCAGGCACTTCCACGGGGTATGCTGCCACCCCACGTTAGGCCAGCGGACACTGCCTGAGACATCGCCACTCAGATTTAAAACCATTGCTTATCATAAAGTACATACCGAATCTTCTGCTGTTGAGGATACACAATGGTTTGATTGTGGGGAACAGGCAATATTTTACTATCATTCCTCAAAGGTAAGAATCAAATTATCTCTCGATTTTAAAAATTACTGTTTGAGCTGCTGACCTGAGTGTCATTAAGAAAAATCACGAAATGACTTTTGGCTTGGGATTAGAATGACATTTCTAGCAATTTCTATATCTGGCCCTAGACAAAGGTTATTGTTTAATACTGTTTATGTGAGATAGTATTCTTAGCACTGACAATTATAAAATAAAAATATTGATCAACTTTGAAAAATGTTGAAGATGCTCTGTGACCTGCAACATCAAATATTCAGCTAAGATTTGTTTCTTTATATAAAAATAAGTCCATCTATCTTATTAGTATGAAAATTTGCATTAGTCTTTAATAACTGGTAAACAATATGTATATGAAAGAATTACTTTATGATAAATTTTTTCCATGAAATTTACTACTATTAGAAAATATTCAATTTGTATCCTGCATATTGTCCCGCCTTTTCTTAAACAATAAAACAGTAATTTAAAAAAGAATAAGTCAAAGTAATAATAATTTAAAAAGTCTTCCTCAAATAAGGTATTATCTCAATATTATTATGAGGACACCAGGAAGAGCATTTCCCCTAGATGGCAACTTGGATCCAGACGTGAGATGCTTAGCGGTGAAGGTGTTCATTGACACTGAAGAAACTTGTCCCACGGTCCCCAGTGTTTGGCCACTCCCACCCAGCTGAGTCTCCACCCACAGCCTTTCAGTCTCAGAGTGAGGTAGTGCAATGGTACCTGCGGTGTCAGGGTTGGAGTGGGGACTCTTATCCTCATTTTCACTGGGCTGGAGGTCATCCATGTTGATCTAGGCAGCCAAGGGAAGGGAGAAGAATTCAGTTAGATGAGTGCCAGGGTTTTCAGGCTGAGAGAAGCCTTGGAATTACATCAAAGTCAGGCGCTGAGCTTAAAAAAAAAATGCATGTTTGTCCCCATGGCTTTCAGCTCCCTTTGGAACATCAGAAAGGCCAAGGTCCACCAGTGTGTCTTTTCTTCCCTTTCTATTCCATCTGCCACTCTCTTCCTCCCTCATCCTTTCCTTCTTTGCCTTCCCTTCAGGTAAAGAACGGGAAGACCCCAATTAGTGATGGCCCTTGACTCCTAAAGAAGCCCCTCACCTTGGTAGTGGGTGGGGACTCTCCATCTGCAGTAATGGACTTCAGCTCAATTCGCTCCTCTTTGGTCTCCTCCACCGCTGGCTTCTCCATCACCTCCTGTTTCTTTTCGGGGCTGGCAGTCCTGGCCGGTCAGCAGGAAAAAAACCCAGAAATGGATGTTTACTGGAATGATAGTGGACAGTGTAGACAGGAACTGCTTGGTGGTCTTCTGGGGGCAGCATGATCAGCCCTGGGTCTACATGTATTATCTTTGCTCAAGGGAACACCACACTTGCAGCTCCATTGTAAGTATCACAGGGCTGGGGCACCCCTCGCTCTGACTGGCACACATTTGACTTCTTCTGGCCACTTAGTGGCTCCCCTTTTAAATCAGAGGATTCTGGGTCTCACTTAGGATTCTTACAGGATCTCGGTTTGGGGTTGAGCAGAGGCATGGCATATGACAGTCCTAGCTAGATAATTATGGGATGGAATATAGAACCTTATGATGTCTTCTTAATACCCCAATGGCACAAAAATAGTGAGAAAACATCATTTTCTGAGCTGGAGTTGTCTTTTCTTCTGAAGGCAGCTTCCCCCTATCTCCTCCCTGTGTTTCCATGGCTTCTCTTCCCAAAGGATGGCCTCTCACTTCCTGGACTGGTGGGGGAAATGCAATGTCTTTGCAGAGACTATATATAGCAATGACTAGGAGCTATGGGAGAAGCCACGTTACTGTAGAAGCTTCACTACAGTCTGTTTCAGCCAAGATGGCCACTGGGTGAGCACCATCCCCTTCTCCTACCAGTGAGGATGACATTCTAAGCTTAGAGGGTTACCTGGCCAGCTTCTTTCTCTCCTTCTCTTCTTCTTCCTCCTTTTGGGCAGAGGTGAGGCTCTCAGCATCAGCCAGGTTGTCCACCGCAATGGCCAAGAACACATTCAGTAGGATATCTGTTTGTGTCCGTTCTTAAAGAAAATGACCCTTGGTTTTGGGAAGCATGATGCCCACAGGAGGCAGGGAGAATACAAAGCATGCAGAAGTAACAGTTCCCCAGGAGAAACCCACTTTGAGGGGTGGAGTCCAGCCATGTGCCTTCTCCTCTTTCCCCATTAGCCTGCTTTCTGTTTGGAGTTTTCTAAGTGGCTGAGACCAGCTGGGCTTTGCAGACGGGAGCAGGGCAGGTCTGAGGTATCAGGCCCCACTTTGCTCTTTAGTTGCTAGGTTTCATTATTCATTTTACCACTGGCTTTGACAGGCAGCAGCAGCATCTCTAGCAGATTGCTCTTAAGACCCACTCACATAACAGGGCACTAAAGAGGTGGCTTGGAATCCCTATAGGTCTGTATATACAGACACCCTTAGAGGGCCTGACGAGAGCTGGATAGACTTCAGAATTCTTACTGAAGTGGTCATATGTCTGTCTCTCCCACCCTGCCAAGCCCTGCTTTTCCACCAACAGAAACACTATGGACCAGAGAACCACAGAACTAAGAAAGCATGGCTGGAAAGGTCTTGTTTGTTAAACGCAATACCCAGTCCTGGGCACCCATAAATTCATACCACTTCCTACACTGAGCTACACAGAGAGGGGTTTTCTCTAGAAGATTACTAGCTTTTGGCCCTTGAATCTGGAGCACAGGCGCGCCCTTGTGTGCATTTCCCCAGCCAACTCACAGAGACCCTTTAAGCTTGCTTCCTATTATCCCAGTGTAAGCTCAGGACCCTTTATTAGAATGCTTGCAGCAAGATCTGGATTTCAATTTATTTTTCAAATTTGGAAATACACATGATGGGATTTATCTTGGGGATAGGGCCCCAAATATATTTGTTTTCTATACATATTTTATAAATACTTTGACATCAACTTTATACAAACCTTTAATACTTTTGTACATGAGATAATCATGTGGTTTTTCTACCTAATGCAACCTGTAGGCATTAAAAGGTTCTGGATACTGGGTTATTGGATCACGGATTCTCAACCTGTCTTGCCCTGTAGGTACACAGAGGAAGAAGGCCTTTGATGTGCCAGAGGCCATCCAGCTGATAAAATGCCAATTTTGTCTTCAGTTAGCATAGTGTTCTTGATTTCTGAACTACCCAAACTAAGGGTTTCACTTAAGTTTTGGGCTAGAGGTGTTTCTATCTTATCACCAAGCTCTAGACTCCACTCTCACAGGCTCAACCAGTGGGAGAGAAGAAAAGCCTAGGGCTGGAGGCCCTGGGGTCCTGTTCCTGCCTCTGATCAGGAAGGAGCTATCAGGAAGTTTGTTCAGCTCTGCCTACAACTTTAGCCCCAAGAACACCTTCAAAGGGAGGAAACTGATCAACGCACAGGGTGGAGCTCTCAAGTGCAGTAGCTCTGGAGTAGCCAGGGCACACATCTCCAGACATAGTACATCCTAGTCTGTGTGAGTTTGGCTGCAGAGGCCACGGTGCTTGGAGGCCTCATTCACGTCATGACCAGAGCACACCTTCTAGTGAGGATGACCCTGAAGTGTGAGTGAGTTCAGGAGTGTGTAGTGCACTGTCCTGTGTCCCAGCTGCAGCATGCACCCAGACCCACACCATGACTGAAATGGTTCTAGGCCAGGACACATTCCCTTCCAAGAGTGGTCTTGCCCAGCTAGCCTGTGGATGGGCAGCCACAGCACAGAGCCCCAGTCAGGGCCTTGGAGCACACATATGGCACTGTGGGATAGCAGGGTTGGGGCAGCATCAGCATCAAAGGATACAATTTCCACAGATGAAGAGGATGATGAAGTAAATACAGACTAACATCCCTGGAAAAGAGGGGCCGCCATAAGCCATGATCCCATCATACATCACCGAATTCCAGTCCTCCCCGGTCAGGATCTGAATGACACATTCCCACCAATAAGGGACACAGCGTTAGACCAACAGCAAACCCCCAAACTCCCCTGCCCTGCCCTGCCCTGCCTGCCCTGCCCTGTCCCACTTTGTTAACAGAAACGTCCCAAATCTCATTTTGACTTTTCTTCCCTTATTCTGGCTCCCAATTATTCTTGGGGACTACAGGCCTGGGTTAGTTAACCCCTACCCACAGACAAAGTGCATAGCCATCAGCATATAAAAAAAGCTTTGTGATCAACACATTATGTTGCTCTTCACATATAGTATAAGAGACGGCTGCCATTAGTTCCCTGGGTGGCAATACCAGGCAAATATGATCACGAGGACAGTGACTGGCTATACCCACGTCTGTTAAACATAACCATTTGGTACCATCATTAAGATTTAAGCAATATAAAATATACACAGATTGTTCCCCTTTATCTATAAATAAGTTTATTTTGAAACTCAAATACATGTTATTCTAACTGTCATATGCTGAAACATTCATGAAAGCACAACCCTGGACCAGCTGTAATTCTTCCAGTGGCAAGGATGCTTGGACAAGGATGCTGGAGAGTAAAGGCAGGTCCTCCACCTCCCCACAAGGTCAGTCTACTTTTCTTTTTGTTTTGTGTGTTCATACAGGTTTTGTTTGTTTGTTTTGGCTAATGGGTGCCATGGCCACACAAACATTTTTAAACCCATCAATTAGATTGTTATATCCTTAGTCTACCCATCTACGTAGCTCCCTGGAAGGTTGAGAGACAAGAAGCAATAGAAAGACCTCCCAGGGATGACCTAGGCTGGCATTACGGCCAGTGAGAGGGTCCTGCTTTCACCACCCACCTTTTCAAGGCTCCTTCTTGCCCACCTCCCACTTGACTCCTGAACTCTCCCCCCCGCCACCCAGTGAGAAGGGCAGCAGCGTGTCCTACCTGAAACACAGTGAGAAGTGACTGTGGGAAGTTGTCAAATGTGCTCCTACGGGTCTGCATCTCATCAAAGTTGAACTTCCCTCCAAACAGCTGCATCCCCAGGAGGGAGAAGATGATGATGAAGAGGAAGAGGAGCAGCAGCAGGGAGGCGATGGAGCGCACTGAGTTCAGCAAGGACGCCACGAGGTTGCTCAAGGAATTCCAGTACCTGGGGACAGACATGGAGTTCAGCTGCCTGTCCTCTGCTGCCCTCCATCAGCCCTCACCCGTGTGCCCCTGCTGGCTCTAACACACAGCTCCATTCTCTGCCATTCCTCCACTCCCTTTTCTGGGTTGAGTAGTAGTGTGAATGGACTCACAATTAAGATGAGGAGTTACAAATTCAGCATCAGTAAGAGGCAACAGTAAGGAGAGAGGGCTCAGAGGCCAGACATTCCCACCCACTCTACCAGCTGCTGAAGACCTGGGACAAGTCCTTTGCCCCTCCCCGCTCTCCTGCCTTCCTGTCTGGAAAGAAATGGAGATAACAGGGGTGTGTACATCCTCATTAGGTAACCCGGAAGATAATTCCCTCTCTCTCCACAAGACAGTGCCCCGTATTCTATCTGTCACACAGTTAATTTAAGTTTATGATCATCACAGACCCCTGTGGTTTTTAACAGAGAAAAAACTCCCCTCTCCAAGAATGCCAGTCTGAGCAGATTGCAGGGGCAGCTACCTGGGGAGATAAGAACAGTATTTACTCATGGGAAGGAGTGGGCAGAGCTTAGTGATGGCCCCAGCTTCCCTGTCATGGTGGTCAGCTTTTAAAAGTCATGCCTTTGGAAATTCTGATCCTCTGTCTGGCCCCAGATAGCTTTAGTTTCAGCAAGAACCCACAGGATTCTGATAATTTTAGATTACAGCTAACCCATCACTCTACTGCGGACAGCTCCAGGCAAGAGTTCTCCAGGCAGTCCTCTGGGCCTCTGTTTACAGTTTATTAGCTCAGTGACCATGGGGAGTAAGCATTTCTTCAAGAGCCCACCAGAGTGACACCTTCTGGTGGCAGAGCTCCCCACCCACAACCCAGATTATTGATTCAACTTCACACGACCATGGCCATCTCGAGTCTTATTCACTATAATTATCCCAGAGTAACCCTTGCTATTTCTTTTTCTTGCACAATTTGGCAGTAAACTACAGAGATAAAACCATTAGAATGGCATGCTGGGCTTTACAGTCAGACCTTGGCTCTGGAGATGCCCCCGGCTCTTTGATACTGTCTTAAGATAACAGGTCCGTTACATCAAGGATGTAGTAACTTTTGTCTTAATCCATAAACTCAGCTCTTTTTTCTGAATCAAATTATAGGCTCCAACTGGCCTGGCTTCCCCTCCAGACCACTCTTCCATCAGCAAAGTCACTCCCAAAACTGAACTGTGTGTAGCCATAATCTATTTCCCTCAGCCTCACAGTAACTTGTTGTCAGTTCTTTACGCTAGGATTGGTTGTTCTGAAAAGCCCTGATGTGTGATAGGCTCCCTGGAGTCCCTAGAGGTCAGAGTTGGTGCTGATCTGCTTAATGCAAGAAGTTAGAGAAAGATTTGGGCTTGGAACACCTTTCCTGATTACACCTGAAACACAGCTCTTCCAAAGCTGCTGGAGAGCAAACGCTGCTCAGATGTTAACCATGTCCTAAATGCTTCTTCTCAGGTCCCACAGGTACCATCAAGTCACACTCTCTGACACTGGGGCTTGAGAAATTCAAAAGCAGTCAATGCAGTGCTTGTCAAAAAACTGGTATTCAGAAACCAGCAACTTTGGAGCCTATTAAATGTCCAATTATACAAGGTGGAGAGCGTCTGTATGTAGACCGAGTTCAACTGTCACGGAAGGTCATAACAGTCAAGGAAAGTCGTGAAGTACACAGGGGTGAGGGAATAGCATCCTGGGCTTGAACTGAGGTTCAGCTATATCTGGGAGCCATGGGGTCATCAGGGAAGACAATCAGGGAGTCTCTGAACCCCAGAGGGTAAGTGGATCTGGGAGGAGTTAGGAGAGGAGAAGGAGGTAATTATGACCCAAATATATTCAATACATGAACGAAATTCTCAAAGAATTAATAAAATATTATAATTAAAATAAAATGAAAATGTGATTTAGAAAACAGAACACTAGTGTGGTTCTGAGGTGAGGAGGCTGGCTGTGTGAGCCCAGCACACCACAGCTGATGGCGGGACACGTGGGGGGTTGGTTTCCACCATGGGCAATATGATGAGATCTGTAGGTACTAGTCAGTAGCGCTGGCAATATAGGTGAAGCCCTCAGGCGGGCAAACCCTCTCAATCTACGTTTCGAGGTTATAACTGCTGAACACAGGATGACGACGACGACCCCCCCCCCCACACACTCCAGAACCACAGTCCTTTTCAGGAAGCTAGCTGGTGCTAAGCCTGACATTATCAACTTTTAGCCTAACTGATCAAAACCATGAACTACACAGACTCACACACCAACAAAGAGAACTTTGGAGAACAAATACTTAGGTCTCCAGCTGCAGATCTCATAGAAAACCTGGGAGACATAAACATCTGTGGTCAGGAGTCCACACACAGCACAGCTGGGACCTCCAGGCCCTCTGTGTAGTGGGTAGCTATTCCAGCTTTGACCTTGAAACACCGCCCTTGGTGTGACAGCAGCTAACTGCCATACCTGCCTGTGACCTGCCCCTGGGGCGTGGCTGAGAGGGAGCCCTTTAAGACTCGAGGTGCATATATGCTTGCCCCTTCTGGATACCTCATGGTCCTGGAAGCTGGATGGCAGACCAAGCCAGGTTTCTTCACTGAATGGTACCTCACCTCTCCCGGATCCTGTAACCAACCCCTATTGGCTGTAAGTTACCCCAGAAATAAACCTCTCTTGATTACCAGATAAATTATGTGGAATTGTCTCATTAACTACAGTTATTCCTCTGCCTCATCACTGTACATCTGTGTTTCTCCTACTGCATCATCCTCTCCAGTGTGTGTTTCTGTCTACCTGTCCCCATCCACTGGCTCTTTGCTTTTTCCTGAACTGTGGTACACTTGAGAAGTTCTGAGCTGGTCCAGTTCCCTTCTACCTAAACCTTCCTCTCCTCTTCACTCTGCCTCACTGGCCTTCTTCAGTTTTTTTTGCTCACTGGCCATTCATTCTTTATTGTTAACCTTTTCCCTCAGTCTCCAGGGTTGACTCAATGCTCTCTGTTCAGGGACATTTTGTCAACATCTTTCCCCTCTGGACATCTGTTTTGGGATTTGGGCCTCTGTAGAATTCTCCTTTCTCTTCTATAATGATCTGAGACTCTCTAGAACCTTTCAGCTCAGAAATCTTTTGCTTCAAAGAGCTGGGGGCCAGCCCATTTACCTTCATGCTGGTGTCGAATGGTGCTGAGCTTGCTATAAATAAAAGATGGTGCAAACAACAAGACTAACTGCTGAGGATGCTTGGCAGTGTTCCACCGTATTCCTCTGTTCCAGAGAGGGTCACCAATGAAGGTAGCCTGCCAACCATTCTTATGCTGAGCAGTGGAAATGTTCTCTTAGTTTTGGTGGCAAGTTACCTATTGCTGGAAGAGTGTTTTTTTTTAAGAGTGTACCAGGGTGCTTTGTGACAGAAGAACAGAAAGGAAGGGATGAGAATCAAGTAAGGCAATATGCGGGATGAGAATCAAGTAAGGCAATATGCAGTAGGCAAGCACAGCCTCTCTCTTCTCCTTTGACCTGCCACAGGGACCCCAGCAGTGGGCATCCTTGAACCAAAACTGCAGTGAACTTAAACCTTGGTCCTTGAGGATGCATCAGACTCTGGAGGTATGACAGGAGCATAAAGTGGTATCTGATTGGTCAGAAGGAGCCATAAGGAATTCTAGTCTGTCTTGGTTAGGGTCTAGGACAGTTTGGGCTCAAGGCACAGTTCCTGCTGGTACCCATCTCTGTCCTCTCCATCCTGCATGGAGAAGACGACTTGGTCAGGATACCACGACTGCCTGGTCTTGACCTTGGGATGGCTTTGGGAAGGTGTTTCTTTGAGGTTCTAGACCAGAGGTGCTCAGCATTACCTGACTGGCCCCCCCAAATCATAAATGTGATAGGGTTTGAGAGGAGGTACATTCAAGTAACCTTTACTGAATCTTCTTAAGCTCCTATAGGTGACAGTTACCACCCAAGGGAATAACTTCCCTTCCTCCCCCAAATGAAAGCATGTGGCTCTTGGGTCTGAGCATGTTCTCCATAGACTCTTGCCTGGGAACTTCACAAACACCAGATTCCTGTTTATTGGTGGCCTTAAAGGAAGTGAGAGGCTCCATGGGCTCCTGAGCAGAGGACTTTAGAAGGTAGTAAAGAAAGCTGGAAGGATTGGGGGGGGGGGTCTGGGGGGGGGGTTGGGAAAGACTCTGGGCAAGGACTTGGAGATCTTTACAGCATGGAAGATTTGCAAATGACACTCACGTAGGGCTTTGGGCACCCCATATGTGGTCATAATTTAGGGTGAATGTGTCTTCCTAAGTCAGCCTAATGACACATTTGAGAGTGTGGGAGGCAGCTGTAGGGGAGGAACAGGGGACTAGAAGAGTATTTTGGTTTATAACAAATGCAGTAGAAACACTAACAGTAACAGATGCTAACATGAACTAAAGCACTCTGTGTTAGATAGGGTAGTCCCAATGCTGACATCCTTTACAGCAACTCAGCCTCAATGACCTAAAAGAGGATGAGCAGAGGAATGATTACAGATGAGCTGACTGGTATAGAGAGCTAAGTCATTTGTCCAAGGTTGCACTGCTTAAGTATCACACTGATGACAGCTAATGGCAGGTCCGTCTCTCAGAACATCCTCTGGAGCTGATGTGCCAGGCTGTCTTGTTGTCTGAGTCCCGAGATAGGACCTAAAGGATTGCATTCATACGCTGCTTGTTAGATGGTGCTGACCGTGTTTGCTTTTCCTGAGGTCTGATAAACACTATTTTAACTTTCAAGTTTTCAATGCCTCTTCAGTAATTCTCACATGGCTCATGTTGGAGGTTGGGTTTTGTTTTTTCAGCTTTGTTTCATTGCTAGATACTGTCATAACATCTTGGAGCAACTGCCCTGTGATGTCCTTTTAATTAGTTTGTGTATTCTCATTGTGAAAATACCAACAAGAAACAACTTTTTAAAGTTTGGCTTGACCAGAGGGCATCCCATAGCCCCCATGCAAGAAGAACTAGCAGTATTTTCAGGCCTCAAAGAGTCCAGAAACAGAATAATTCCATTGTCTAAGTGGGGCTTACTTCTTCAGGTCTCAAATCATCTGGAGATGCATACATTCAGATGTTCACATCTGAACAGTGGTAAGGTAATGAAAGACAGGCTATTCGTGCAGAGTGCAGATTGCTGGGGAACACTTGCTCCCTGTGAACCTGCCTCCAACCTTAAATTTGAAATGCTTAGAACATGGGCTGGGTGTGGGCACTGTGATCCTGCCAGCCTTGCTTGGAGATGGGGCATCTGTGTGCTGTCCTTCCATTAAGCAAGTATATTTCTCCTTCTCAATTCTCCAGGAGTTTACCTCACAAAGTCTTACTACTAGTCACATTTTTTTCCCTAACAGTGCAGTGTGATCAGTGTCTTATTTGAGCTGCTAAAATCCTTAGGAATGGCCAGAGTTCCTGGTCCATGCTTGAGTTCTCATGACCTCACTGACCTCCCCTAATAACATTGACAACACTGACTGAACTGAAGACAAAAGCCTCTGGTTGGCATCGCTGAACTTACATCCAAGTGCCTCTCACTGGAGTCTCAACAAGACTGTGCGCTCAGATGGCCGCCCAGAGAATAATGACAAGAATAGTGACAGCTAGGATGCCTCACAGGGCCTGGTGACTCACTCAAAGGAACACCCTGTGTGAGTTGTGACACACTTGTCCTTGACCTGGAGGCACAAGTCTCCATTCTCATTTCCTAACACAATCCAAGGGAGGGGTTCAATGCTTTTATTTCCAAAGATTGCTCAGAAATCAGATTCCCAAGGGATCTGGGAACTTCTATCTGGAGAAGTTTTGAAAGACTCCTTCCAGCTAGCCCTATCTAAGTTTGTTTTTGTAAGGAGACCACTTCACACATATGTATTATGTATTACTGACAACCAGATACGTATCTCAAAGGTTCTTATGAAATGATGCTCATGGGGTTGTGAGGCCCTCAGGTGTTTTCCCAGTCAATCTCATCCTTTTTATTAAAAGCAATGGTTATAACAAGGAAGAATAGAACTGTGTCATCTGCAGTATTGTGGAGGGAGCTAGAGGATATTACAGTATGTCAGGCATGGAAGAAAAGTGCCACGTGGTTCACTTGTAGGTCGGGCCTGAAACACTGATCTCAATGACACAAAGAACAGGGCGGTGAGGCAGCAGCCAGGGTAGAGGGGGAAAGTGAAAGAGAACAGATCACAGCAGGCAGTGTAAGGTACAGTCACCTCTGATGCTTCTAACACGCAGCAGAACAACTGCCAACAACAGTGAACTGCACATTTCCAAGTGTTTAGTAGAAAGGATTTTGAACGTTTTTAGCAGAAAGACATAAGTATTTAAAGTAAGATGATGTGCTCCATTCCATCATCTGATCATTACATGTTGTACACCCATACTGGAATGTTACTCTGTGCTCCATAAATATGTAAACTACCATCTGTTCTTTAAGAAGAAAATAGGTAAAAAGTAGAAAGCCCCAAATAAACCAAAAAGTACACCAAACAAACAAATAAGCCAAGAACAATCAGTATGAGCAGTGGTGAAACTGGAACCCTTAAGGCGTACATCACTGGTGGAATGTAAAATGGTCTGGTCTCTTTAAAAGACAATTTTATCATTCCTTAAAATCTTAACGGGTTTATTGAATAACCCAGAGGTTGCATTCCTAGATATATATCCAAAAGAAATGAACATTATACAGATCTATAAAAACCTGGACACAAATGTTAATATAGGCATTGGAAGTAGGTAACTAAACTCAACGCCCATCACTGAGGAATGACTATGATGAATGTGAGATAGCCATACAGTGGGATATTATCCACCAAGAATAGGTGTGAAGCTCTGATCCATGCTAAAGCCTGGCTGTAACTTGAAGACACTAAGTTAAGTGAAAGAAGCTAGACACAAATGACCACATCTTTCATTATTACATTTAGAATGTAATAATGTCCACAATAGGCTACTGTTGCCCTGATTTATTTTTTCAGGATGTTTCTGATAGATAAATCTGAACAATGAGGAGTGACTACCTAGGGCTAGCATGGAGTCAGGGTTGAGAAATGTGTATCAAGTTTATTTGGGGAATGATGAAAATGTTCTAAAACCAGAATGTGGTAATGGTTGCAAAACTCTGAATCCACACACACACAGAGAAATGAAGTGTACTCTTGAAAGTGGTGAGTTTATGGCACATAAGTTAAATCTTCATAAAATGGTTTAAAAATGATGATGTCAGCCCATAAAATGATTTCACCAGGGCAGAGCTCACAGGCTGCCCACTCCCTGGATTCCTGCTATACCCTCTTCCTGAGGCTCTGCCTGCCCTGTAGTGAGAATGGTGACAGTCTGCGGATGGGCCAGTGGACAGACAGTATGTGTGTGGATGGCCAGATCAAAGCCCTCTGAGGTATAGTTCCTACCCTCTTGACTCAGAGTTGGCCATCTCTGCTGCATTTGTAGCGACCCATGCCTGTCAGAGAGACCTATTTCTCAGCCTTTCCTAACAGCAAGAACAGCCAATGAGACCAGAAAAGCCCTTGATGAGATTTCTGGAAGAGATTTTTTTTTCCATTTTAAAAAGTATACATATTTATTTATTTTGTGGCGGGGAAGGTGAACATGTGGAGGTCAAAGGCCAACCTTCCGGTGTCAGTTCTCTTCCTCTACTACGTGGTTTATAAAGATCGAACTCAGGTCTTCAGGCTTGGTACCAGGCCTTTACCTTCTGGACAATCTTGCTGCCCCTCAAGTTTTAACTAATAAATGAATTGTTTATTTAGAGAGAGCAAGTACACATGTATGGAAGTTAGAGGAGTCAGTCCTCTGCCATGTGGGTCTCAGGGATTGAACTCGGGCTGTCAGACTTGGCGGCAAGCCCCTTTGCCCACTGAGCCACCTCAGCAGCCTGTTTTCCTCCATTTTTTTTTATTGTGTTAAAACACAGAAAACCTTAAAATTACTTTAAGTTTACGATTCAAGGATATTAAGTATATTCATAGTGTGTAGCATCCATTTCTATGATTCTTTACATCTCATAATATTGAAACTCTAGTCTTTAAATAGTAACCCCTTTTCTCCCCACCCTCTCCCCTTCAGCCACTGTCCTATTTTCTGTTACTCTGATGCTATGACTAAGAACTTCAAATAAGTACAATCAAACAGCGTTTATCTTTTGTGACTGGCTTATTTCGCTCAGCATAATGTCCCCAAAGTTTATCCATGTGGTACCACGCATAAAAACTTTCTTTTAAAAGCTCAGTAATATTCTGTTGGATGTAAATATTACCTTTATTCCATCCACTCACCTGACACTTGGGGCGCTTCTACCTTCTGGCTTTTGTAAATAATGTCATTATAAACATGAGTGTACAAACATCACTTCAAGATCTGGCTTTTAATGGTGTGTGTAAATACCCAGAAGTAAAGTTTCTGGGTACTTTGTAATTCTATTCTTAATTAGCTGAGAAACGGCAGCTCTGTTTTTCACAGCAACTGTACCATTCATTGCCCATTTCTACCACACGTTGTTGAATCTTGACTGTCAACTTGGGGAAATTTAGAACCACTTAGAAACAAACCTCTGGGCTTATCTGTGAGGCTTTTTGCAAAGAGGCTTAACTAAGGGGGGTAGGAGCCTTCTTGAACGTGGGCAGTACCATTTTACACACTGGAGTTACAGAGAAGATTAAGGAGAAAATAAGCTGAGAACAGCGTCGTCTATCCCTCTGTGCTTCCTGACTGCGGACACACTGTGCCGGGCCACCTCACACTCTGGGTACCACACCTTCCCACTGGATGGACTCTGAGCCAAAATAAAGCCTTCCTTCCTTAAGCTGCTCTTGTCAGATTTTTGGTCACAGGATTGAGAGAAGTAGCTAACACATACCCAGAGTGCCAGGGTCCCCAGCTCTTCCTGCCCTACCTTACACTTGCTGTCTTGTTGCCCTGTTTGGTTTGGAGTAGCATCTCTAACAATGGGTCTGCCTGAGATTTGGGGGAGCAAAGAAGCTGACTAAACCCTTTTTTGCTTTTCTAGAACTGATAATACCTCAATGTCCAGAAGCCATCTTGTACCCTACAGTTGAATCAACACCAATGCTGGTCAAGTTAAGGACAGGAGGTGACCGAGTCCCTGATGTTTCCTAAAGCCACCTGGCTACCTACCTCTGGACTTCCAGTTACACAGCAGCAACCAGGTTGAATGACAGCAGTCTGGAGTTAAAGGCATTTCCAAGTGGCACACCACCCAAATGGACCACAACTCCCCTTGCTGCAGAGGCTACCTTCCAGAAACTGCAGCTCTTCCCTCATCCAGGCTCATCCTCTCTGACCTCCAGTAGACTTCTCCTGAGTCCCACCCCCACAGGGAGAAGAGGAGCCACACACCTGGTGATCTTAAAGATCCTGAGCAGCCGGACACATCTCAGCACAGAGATGCCCAGGGGAGACATGATCTTGGTCTCCACCAGGATGGTCTCCAGGATGCCCCCACACACGATGAAGCAGTCAAAGCGGTTGAAGAGGGATACAAAATAGGCCTGCAGGCCTAGGCTGTACATCTTCAGGAGCATTTCTGCAGTGAAAAGCGCCAGGAGGGCCTTATTGGCTGTGTCTGGCAGGTGTAGGACAGGGGTGGCATTCCAGCAAGGAACCGAGAAGAGCAAAGAGGAAGGGGAGGCAGAAAAAATAAAACAGTCACTGTCATAGCTGGAGAAGAAGACCCATCCCTTCACCCCTCCCTCTCTCCTTCCCCTCCCCCTCCCTCCTTCCCTTGAGACCTCTCCCAGCTACTTCTGAAAGAACAATCGGGTCCAGATTCTTGTCATTATAACCCTGCATTGAGCATCCACCATGCATTAAAGGCTTAGCATACGTTGTCTTCCTTAATCCCCATAGAAACCTGAGCGGCTTGGTGCTGGTTTTATTAAACCCAATCCTCAGAGATGAGAGAGCAGGTGCAGAGGGGTCAGTGACCCATCCAAGCCAACAGCCAAAGTTGAGACCAGGCTATCTGTCCTGTGCCTTGTTACCACTAGATGACCTACCTCCTCCCAGGACCCCCATAGCCTGAACCATATCTGCCTCACTCCCCAGAGATACTTAGACATGGGTTGTGATTGTCTTCATAGGGGTCCAGGCATGACAAGGGGTCTTAGCCAGCCTCTGGGAATACTGTCCCTTGTGCAGGCTCTGTTTGCTTCTTGCCTATCTTCTTATGGTCTGGGGGAAAGCTGCCTGGAGCTAGAGTAAGGCCAGAGGAACTGAAAATTGCTTCTGGGAAGTTGGCAGCTGAGGGTCTGAAATAGCCAGATGAGCTCCAGCGCCTGTCCTGCTACTGATGGACTCCATGATGACTATGGCTGTGGGGGGATTTGGCGAGAGGGCACATCAGTGCTTGAGGGTCATAACTGTTTATCACAAGGGCCTGGATTTTAATACGGGGCCTGCAAGCTTCCAGGCCCTCGGTCGGATGTTCCAGCATGGCACCAGTAGTCACCAGCTGCTTAACTGTCAATCTCCCCCCAATAGTTAGTCCCTCCCCAGGACCCAGAGCTGAGTTAGCAAGAGTGAACAGCACCAAGCCAGGAGCTGCTCACCTTGTACTTCTGTGAGCCAGTGGGGCTGGTTGTGATGTTCGGAGGCAATGGTGAGTGTGTTGAGGAATACCAGGAAGATCACGAGCCAGTAGAAGACGTTGGACTTGACGGCCGCGCGGCACTTCCTTCTGCAGAATCTATTCCACCTGCGCCAGTAGCGGCTGGAAAGGGCAAGGAGGGAGAGACGGGGTTGGCTGGGAGAGCTAGACTTCTGCCGACCCCGAGCACACAAGGTGACATCTCCCCGGTCACTGGCCTGGCCTTACTACACACCCTGGTGGTGGTGTGGCCAGACCTCTACCAAGCTGTTTAGCTATCTCTGTGGCCTTGGGTCTATCCATGCTGCATTTTAAAGCTTTGATTAGAAGGAACAGGGACAATTTCACGGGATTCTTGTAAACATGCATCAAATGCCATATATGCCATCTGGCATGAGGCCGACGTTGCCCAACAAGGGGAGTTGCTTTTATTTTCTCAGCTGGGGATATACCTCAGTGGTAAAACCAAGTGTGTACCCAAGCCTTGGTTTCAATCTCTGCTACTGAAAGAGAAAGGAGTTTCCAACTCCTTTTAATTTATTTTAATGGCATTATCAGAAATAGTGTGGCGAGCCTAGGGGGAATTAGTCACTGTGCTGGTGGCGGTGACAGCAGTGGTGAATGGTTACCATGAATAAAGCCTTCTGTGGCCTTGGAATTGTAGGACTGTCTCGGGGCTTCTCCAAAAGTCTTTAAGTATCTCTGTCAAGCATGTGTTACCCTGATATTGAGGAGGAAACTAAGGGCTGTTGAGGTACAGCAGCCTGTCCAATATATAGAGTGGTAGAGGCAGGGTGATGCTCTCCCCAGCCCCGCCCCTTCCACTGGACCGGTATCACCTCTCCATGCAGAAGAAGAGGCTGATTTACAGCAGAGGTTCTTTACATTCATGGGCTCTTAGGATCTGTTAAGAACTCAATGAACATTTAAAATTTATGTTTAGAAAGGTGAGTACACCCCTGACACACCACACACACACACACACACACACACACACACACACACACACACACACACACACAGAACCCCTAGAGCTCAACTATTGTCACACAGTATTCCCCAGTGCTCTTGGTCAAGGACTGTCGGTGACTTTCCAGGGTGGCCATGTGTAGAATGACTTGGGAAAGCTTTAATGACCACTCAGCCACCCCTCCCCTCGTACCTCACCTCAGCACCAAATCAATCTGATTGAAAACCGATCAACTGGGTGCTAGGTACATTCAAATACCCAAAAGATGGAACTGGTACTTCTTAAACTCCCCCAATTGGTTCTAATGTATAATTATGGCTGAGAGCCATTAAGCTGGGGATCCCAAAGAGACATTCCCATTTTATGGATCTATGACAGAGGGTTTCAGTGCTCTTTCCCACCACACACACAACATAGAGCTCTGCTGGGGATTCAGAGGATGATGCTTTTAACAGCTGCCTGGAATACAATAAAGAAGTGTGGAGAGTCAGATCACACATGGCCAGGCCAAGCCCCAACATCGGAAGACCCACACAATCAGATTTTATTTCAGAAACCAGACATCAACAGACACAGACACATGGTGAGCTTTCAGATCAAGGTGTAACCAAGAAGACAGTTCCAGCTGTCTGGATTAGTGATGATGTAAGAAAAACTTTCTTAGTGGCACAAAGGACACCGAGGATACAGCAGACCGGAAACAGAGTCAACAGGAGACTGGAATTCAAGAGGAGAGAGAGGTCCTAAGAGGGGTACCAAACTGCCTAGCTGGTGGTCTGGGAGTGTGGCACCCACAGCCGATCAAAATCCAGAGAGGGGTGCTCTGGGAAGGGAGGAGGGGTGGGAGAAGGGCAGTACATTTAGCTTGGAATGTGGTTCAGGGTGGTGGCTGGGCACGAAGGCAGAAAGATCATCAGGCATATAGAGTCCCTGCTCCGCTGGTAAAGAAGGCAGAAGGAAGTGAGACAATACCCTGGTGCAAACATCACAGGCATCTGCATTTCCATATGGTAATTTCTAGTTGTGCCTTTCTAGTCTCGGCCTCTATGCAGGCATGTGGGACCTGCTTGCAGCAGAGACCTGCAAACCTCATTCTGCAGCCCATGAGTGGACAAAACAACTGATAGGCCATGATTGGCACTGAAAAAAGGAACAGAATGAAAATATCACAGCATGATTCAAAATAAGTAGTACGAAATACTTGAATAGAATTCTTAGTGTGTGTGCGTGTGTATGCGCATGTGTGTGTTGTCCTGGGCCAGGATGCAAAAACCAGCCTTCTATTTTAGGGCAATGAAATTGACCTGTAGTCCAACATTCTGAATATGTCTATGTCATTATTCCATATCTGCAGTCTTCTGTCCAGAGATAATCATAGAAAAATTTAGTCATTTCCTCTGTAGAGTTGTGCTGGTGGTGCATCAGTTGAAGAATCATGAATGGTCCTCAGCGTCACACAGTACCACATACAAGCATACCAGAAGGGGTACAGGACTGGCTATATATGTTACATCCTTTGTCCCTAAATTCAGCTCTCTACTCCTTAAGAGAGACTTTTTCAACATCACCAGTTCCATGCCAAGGACAGATTGTATTTTTTGGTCCCAGGGAGACAGACCTCTATATGAATAGCTCTGTCCACTTGCCCACATTTCCTTTTGGGATATTGAATGGTCCTGTCCACTTACCCACACTGCCTTTTGGGGTATTGAATGGTTCCCTACAGTTTACCCACCCTGCCTTTTGGGATATCGAATGGTTCCGTCCACTTACCCACACTGCCTTTTGGGGTATTGAATGGTTCCCTCACTTATCCACACTGCCTTTTGGGGTAGCTTGGCTTCATCTATGTCTCTAACACTGTCGTTTTTCTCTCTACTGTTCCATGGAAAATCCCGTTACCAAGGTTTAACTGAATTCTACAGAGAGAATGGAAGAACCAGAGGCAATCTAAGAACTTGAATTCTTCCCTGAGAACTACCAGGGGGAACTTGGCTTTGGGCCTGCAAGCGGAAGGACAGATAGATTAGTCTCAGTGTTCTGGCCTGATCCATCCTTCACTGGAGGCCCCAGCTTTGCGGGGGACACTCAGCTTAGCTGGTGCTTTAGGGGACTTCACTATGCACAGAAGAGACACCATGCAAGTCAGACATTAGTCTGCCCTTCAGGGTGCTTGAGACATCTAGCCATGCCACATGCAAGTGTGAGGATGGGGCATCTGTGGAGAGGGACAAGTGGCTAGGACAACGAGTCCCAGGTGGATGTAATGGGAAGTGGCCCTTGATATTTGCCATAACTTGATACTGCATAGTCCCGTATTATCAGAACACATCTCTTTCTTCCTATGAGTATTAATGTAGGATAATTTAAAAACATATATTAATTGCAAAGATACATTTTAAAATAGACACAATCCCATACTGCAGAGACCACTGATAATTGCCATGCAGACTATAAAGCAATCAAGGTTGCTTTTACCTACAGTAGGTAGAAACTGACTTGGAGTCCGTTTAATACCAAGAATTAAACCACGGCCTCTCTCTCGTTTATTAGCAGTGGACATCGGTTGTTATAAAGTCAGGCCCGTCCCATGGGTATAAAACAGCTCTCTGCCAGCTCTTTTAAAGGTGGCTGCTACTGCACAGAGCCGTTCTGGAGAGTCACATGGATTTTGGGTTGTGGTGGGGATGGGAGTAATTACTATCCAGGGAAAGTATTTAAAGATAATTGTACATCTCCTACTCTTCAAATGTAGTTTTGCTTGACAGCTGGTTTCCTGGCAACACTTCCTACTACATAAGAAATGGATAGTTTATTAGAATGTGTAAATTTATTTGTGTGTTTACATATGCACAGAGGATATAGAAATTAAATGATAAAATAGGGAGGAGAGATTTGCCTGCTGTTCATGTTGTCTTTGCATCAGCTGGAAGTCATTTACTCTAGAAATACAGAGACGGGGCGAGAAGGATGGAAGTGAACGTGCCTACTGTACCTAACTGTCTGTAGCGCTGTGCTCTGTTCCCTCTCCCTTGGCTCCTCTTATTTTCACCCCACCCCCAGCACAGGGCGTCGACTTTTTTTTTTTTTAGAAACACAGAATACCCTCCCAACTATGAAGGCTTCCATCCTCTGGTCCTATCTTCTAGGTCCTGCTCATCCTTAGGGCTCACCTCAAATCCCAGCTTCTCTGCAGTGGACGTTCTGCTCTTCTAGCCCTGGCCTCCCTGCAAAGCCTGTCTGCATCACACACTTGGTTTGTGCAGTCAGAAACACTTATGTAAGAGCTGCTGCGGACACGGTAAGATAGCAACAGTTAACAGACCCAGTCCTTCCCAGCACAAAGGCCGGCCAGGGCACAGCAGTAGGCGAACATACTACATGCTGGGACTCTCTGCAATAGTGCCCCTAGGCCACATCTTACATAGTCATGGAGGGATCCAGAGAGGTTTCCCCTGGGAGAGGACTTCCATTGCCTGCTAGCAGCAGTTAACTTTTAATGTTTGGCCCCTGACTCTTTACTGAGATAATCAGATCCACAAGAGGCAGGGATCATGTCTTCTATTTTGTTACAGACCCATAGTATTGAGCACAGTTTGTCTCACACAGTACGATGCTCGCTTACAGGTTGTGTGAGATATGACAGAGAGACGTGCCCAGGTCCAACTCCCTGAAAAAGGCAAGGCTTAGAAAGCCCTGGCCTCAGGAAGGGGAAAGGACAGAGCTCCTAAACTGCTTCTCTCGGCATGCCCATGCTGACAAGTCCAAGACATGGAAACAGTAGACACTGCAGGCTGTCTATTGCTGGAGGAAGTTTCCATCTTCAACAGAACCAGGAACAGACAGCAGAGAAAATCCGCTACATTTAACTCTTTTATGAGTAAGTAGCCTAAAAATGGGATCTAGAGATTGGGGCAGACTTGTGTGCCTAGTTGTTTACGGCACAGCAGAAAAGCAAGGACGTGGGAGGCGGTTCTTACCGAAGACTAGGCCTGACGGCCCTCACAGTTTGGAACCCCATGAGGTTTGCTCTGAATTCTTCATAGTTATGCTAGGAAACATTCCAACAGGTCTCTGGATCACTGATGCACAGTGAGTCTCAAATGTAGCCTTTATTTTCCTTTACACGAAAACCTGAATTATCAAAAAACCCCAAGCATCATCTAATTTGTCTCTTTTTTCCCCTGCAAGCTCTATTCAACCGTTCTTTCAAAATTAACCATGACTTTGTATCATCCAGTCTTGCACCTAAAATAGGCCAATTTGAAGCTCCAATTCTATTACTGTCATTATTAGATTGTTTCCCAACTGAGAGAACTATTTGGGAAATGTTGATAATTCTGCAAGTGTTTTCAATCTATTATCATCCTTAGCTATTGCCTAACCAGACACCATCAGTGAGCTGAAGGATGTAGGTTAGCAAGCTGCTTGTGATATTGCTCAGGACTTCTAGGGTCCCCTTGTCTGGGTGACAGACACTAGCAACATGTGGCCAATCCAAACTAAGATATACAGTAAATGTAAGGTACATGCTAAGTTTCAAAAAGTCTTGGTGCAACAAGGAACACAAGCTATCTCACTAAAATGTGTTATATTAATTTCAGTTGAAATGACAATGTTTTCATTACACCGCTCTAAATAAAAATGTTTCATTTCCTGTTGCTCCTTTGGACTTCTTTGACATGGCCACTAGAATAATTTTCAAAGCATGCACAGAAATAGGTTCAGCACACCAGCCAGGACTTGCCCTGCAGGATGGCTGAGCCTATTCCTGAGCTGTGACTTTGGGCTTCTTTAAGCTTCAGGGATCATCTACAGGTGTTTTTAAATGACTGTGCCAACCCACTGACAAGAAGCCACTTGTGAATACAAGGTCATTTTTGTGCTTACCTTAAATTGGAAATGCAGAGAGAGAGAGAGAGAGAGAGAGAGAGAGAGAGAGAGAGAGCACCCCTCCCCCAAAGTAAGCAATTAGAGCCCCATGGCTGGCAGATGCAGCATGGACAAGGTCCCAAGGATCAAAAGACTGTAATTTTTCAAAGACATACCTGACACTGTGGATTACCCAATGCAAAAGGAAGGTTTTAGAGTCTCCTGATAACTCATGAGTGTCCACCAAGTATGGGATCTTCTCCACAAGTCTCCAGATTGTGTTTATTCATTCATTCATCTATGGTTTCCTCATTTGCATGGAGTGAGAATAGAATTTGGGAAATATTTTCACTGTAAAATTTAATCTCTTTACTATTACTATGTGGGGGCTGTGGAACTGTTCAAAGAAACATGTACTTGTCAAATATGACATTTGTTTGAATGTCTGTCAAGTCTACATCTTATCAAGACCAGGTGATTGATCCATCCATCCATCCATCCATCCATCCATCCATCCATCCATCCTATATATTACTTCTCTATATATTACTAAATTCTTATTATATACCAGCTACTTCTACACATGCAGAAGATGAAGAATGAAGATCTAGAGAGGATTCTTTTGTGTTTAGAGCTCTCTTTCATGTAATAAAAGCCAGTACTGGTAGAGCTGACCGTGGATTTTTATATTAAGGAGGCCTTGGTTTGAAAGAACAATAGGGGAAGAAGAAGCATACATTTTCCAGTCCCAGAGGAACATGGGAGAAAGGAGGTGTCAGAATTGGACCAGTGTCACGTACCAGAGTCCTCACTTAACCTTCATACTTGGGTGTGGAATGCCATGAGGTTAGAGGGACTCGCTTAGAAACACCTCGATGTCACAAGGAGAGGTTAAGGGAGCTGGACAGTGATCAGAGAGCTTGAGAGTCAGAGAACAGAAGTGGAGATTTCAAGGCTGGAGGGGTATGGCACAGGGTACATGACATGGCCTGTAGTGGTGGATGTCTAAACTAGACAGACTTGCCATATGTCGAGCTGGCCCACGTATCAGAGCTGGCAGGAGTCAAGAGACTCTTGAGAACTCCAGGACCTCTTTCACTAAGCTCTGATTCTGGGATTGTGGCATTCTCCCCAACCCCCTGCGTATCCAGATCCACTTTAGACAGGAGCTGGGGAAAACGAACTCTGAGCAATTGCACTCGTGACCTCCAGGAACTGCTTAAAACATACTGTTGGTAAACACCTGGTTGAACTAGTTTAGAATTACTCATACTCCCACTACATATGTGATGAGGCTTGGGAGGCAAGACTACGTTATGAAAAATAAATGGCCAATATTTTTTGGTGTCTAAGTCTTGTTTGTGGAATTAAATTTACATTCTCATCCTACATATATAACCAGTCAAGCACTCAGGGAGCTCTCAGAGGCAACCTGTGGGGTAGTTAGGTAGGTACTGAGCAGACTCCAGTGTGCAGACAAAGTTCAAAGGAGGCAACAGGCCTTTGAGCCAATAGCTAGAGTATAACATGGTAAGTGCTAGGACTATTGCATGACCAAACATGTGGGAATGGAGATTGATGAGAAGACCATTTTAGTGTGCTGTGCCAAGGGTGCCACAGATGCAGTAACCTTTGAGCGGATTGACAAGTCTGATGTTTCCAGATAGAGACATAGATGGTGATTTTGGTGGAGGAAAAGCCCCACAAAAGTCTCAGTATGCAAGAGAATATAGAAATTTGGGAACCTACAAGGAGTTGCATGTAGAAGAAAGTATTTGTGCAGACGTGCAGAAGGTAAAGGCAGAGACAAGCCACAGGGTGGATATTCTGGAAGCTTCTGATACTGTCTCAAAGCAGTGACAGAATCTACATTCTGTCTGTAATCCTCAAAGTTGTGAAGTATGCCAAGTAGTAACAAATGTTCGCACATTTATTTTAACTGACTTTATCTTGTACAGGAAGTAGACACCACTCAGAGCCTATCCAAAAGAACCCAAGTTTTAACCCTTACAAAAGGAAGCAGTTCTAGCCCCAGAAGGACCCAAGCTGATAGGAATTACCTTGGCCATCTGACACAGTAGCTGGGGGTCAGGCTACAGGGACAGAAGGGAAGAGGGGTAGTTTGCATCTCACTCACCTGAACTTGGACTTGGAGATCCGGTGGCTGAAAGAGTAAAAGGAAATATTAGCAAAGACAACATATTCACTTTTGTCCATATCAAGAGTGTTTAACCATCCCCAAGGAATTTGATGTTCCCCAGGACGGTATGTGGGCACTGGAAGGATTTGTGGGGTAAGTTATAATGCTACAGAGAAAGAACATTTTGTGTATTTGAATGTGGCTGGCCCAGCTGACATCTACAAATCCAGTATCTTCTAAGCATGGGTAATCCTTTGCTGGAGAGCAGAGCACACAGTCCTGAGAGGATCAGTATCTGCCCACAAACTCCATGAAGGGCTAAGCATAACACCCCTTTAGGAAAGCCATGGAAAATGGAAAGTCTCTCACTGCAGACAGAAAGACCCCACCAACAGAAAACTCTTCGTGCTGACCTCACTGTGGTCTGCCTGGATCTCTACCAGAGCTGGGTTAGGAAGCACATGAAGCCACATGAGTCAGCTGGAAACGGGAAGGCCATCACTTCCCTAGCTCAGAGCTGCTCACTAGATATGAACACATAGCCTCAGGCTCTAAAGGGACATTATATGTGCTGAAGTCAGGTGTGGCCTCAGAGGTCTATGGCAACTTTGGGCGGAAGCACAGGTAGGGTGTCCTTGAAGGATCGTTACATGGGAAGGATCCCGAAAGATAGCACCTTTAAGGGAGGCTTTGAGACTGTCCAGTTCATCTAGGACAGATTCCAGGAAAGCTACACGGAGCTGGGAGGTGGAGAGAGGTCAAGAGAGAGGCTTGTTAATGAGAAGTAGAGAAAAGTGAGGGAGGAGGGAGAAAGGGGAGAAGAGAGAAAGGAGGAAAGAGGGAAGAGAAAGGAGAGGGGGAAGGAGGATGTAAGCAATTGAGACAAAACATTTTGGAAAAAACCCAAACATCTGAAGGCACATGCCAGCTTAGCTTTGATGCTAAGAGAAAGGTGGCCGGGCGGTGGTGGCGCACGCCTTTAATCCCAGCACTCGGGAGGCAGAGGCAGGAGGATCTCTGTGAGTTCGAGGCCAGCCTGGTCTACAGAGTGAGTTCCAGGAAAGGCCCAAAACTACACAGAGAAACCCTGCCTCGAAAAACCAAAAAAGAGAGAGAGAGAGAGAGAGAGAGAGAGAGAGAGAGAGAGAGAGAGAGAGAAAGGTGAACACAGGCAAAGTAACAGGGGAAATCTCAGAAAGCTCCACCCTTAGATGAAGAACTACAGGCAACCAACGCTGCTAAAAGAGGGTGAATGTGTCTTCTCCAGGGACGAGGTCCCTAACAGGTTGTCCAATCTCAAGAGGTCAGCTCTAAACACATCGCACACGAGCAACACTAAATGGACTCAGCGAGTTATATATTTATAAATATATACCAGCAATAATCAAAGAGAACAAGGTCATAAAATTGGAAGAGTAGGGGGCTAGGGAAGGCCTTGAGAGGGGAGAGGAAGGAGTGGGAATGATGTAAATACTGTACTCATGTAGGACATTTTAAAAATGGCCACAAAGAATAGAATTCAAATGAGGAATGGCAATGATCAGAGACCCTTGGAGGGATGTTGGAAGGTGACTGCTTGACGCCATGTTGTCCCAGTCAGGCAAAAAGCAAGCTATGTCACGTAATAAGAAAACATCAACCCTTCCTGATATTATTTTTTTATTAAAAAAAAATAAAGCAGAAGATGTGGCAGGTGGCAAAGTCATCGTGCATGAGATAATTATATCTCCAGGGCACTGAGAAGCCGAGCCAAGTGCCTTTATTGCTCTGAACTGTTAACTAACAACCCTTTTCCACCCCCAAGACTGCCTGCCAGGCTGCAGGGTTTAATCACATGCTAACTGAGCATGTGGGAGGGGGGCCTAGAGCCCAGGGTAGCGTCTTTCATCTAGAGGCACCGTTTAACAGGGGAAGAAATGTTTGCTAGCTGATCAATGGAGACAGGGAAGCAGGTTATGGATATGCTGAGCTCAGGGATCTGTAAGAAGGCCGAGCTGGTTCCAGGCTTTCTTGCAGAGGGTCTCAGTGGTTTCTGGCTCAACTCAGACCCTTTGCCCCCTGCAAGTCTCCCTCTTATTCTCAGTCCAGTTAATTTACAAGCAAAAGTAAGACCTTAGAAACTCCCCTACGAGGAACTTGAGAGTTCTCTTAAGGAAATGAATCTGTAATATGGGATAAGGGGAGATCAGAGCTGAGTGAGTATTTGTCCTCGTTCACAGGTGGCCACTGTTTGGTGTCCTTGTACTCTGGGCCAAATGAAATGGTCCATGAGTCTCCTGCCTATTTGGCTCCAAGTCCTGATGTCTAACCCTGTACACCTCATATGAAGAAGGCTTCTTGTTGCTATCAGGAGTCTGCGAGCATGACTTTAGGTTCTCTGCATCTGAAACATTCCTTTGTTTTTAATACAAGCCCATTTCCTCGGGCCCTCGGCAGCACTTTGGTCCTTGCACTAAGGAAAGGTGTGATGTCACTCCAGGGGGTCCTAGAAGAGTTATACTTAGAACTTTACAGAAGATTGAAGGCTTTGATTCCCTGGCAATCCCTGTATGCAGGAGCAGTTAGCTTCAAGACTTCACAAAACAGAAGGACGCTACTGCTCACAGCCCACTGTCTCCTGTCAGTAGCGACAGTCTCCATGTTTGGATAGCTGTTCTCACTGTGGAGAAAGGAGCCAGAGAGTACTGAGCACCTTAGCATGTCTGTCTTCTACTGATGTTTGAAATCTGTGCAGCCTGTAGAGTCCTGGAAACAGCAGAAGCCTCCAGTGTACCCAAACCCCAGTGGGCATGAGTAGTTTGCTCCAAAGTTTCTGGACTTTTCCATCATTCATATTCAAGTGCAATGCCATCCCTACTTCACATCTCAGGTAGATTTGTTAAGAGCAAGGAAGTGGAGGAGGTTAATAACTAGCCACACATGAGACCTCCAGAATACACCACTGGGTAGGGACTTATCTATTTATCCCCAGGTGCTCAACTGGACCCCTAGGGGCCAACCTAGAAGACCAAGATTTTCCTCCCTAATTTTGACATTCGAAATTAGAGACAACCCTCAAATCATTTTCCCTGTTAAGCTACTGGCTTTGTATTTATCATTATCTGACAAATAGTTGAACTCCTTGGTAGTTGTTTATACATTCAGCTTCTTCTTCCTTCTTTGAGTGATAAGTACTGTACACTTACTACCTACTGTGCAAGAGTTTTCCTGAATTGGCCCCATTTTGCCTTCAGCACACTCAGAAAGATTGCTGATTCAGCTTCTCCGACTCCACAGCTTGATCACAATCCCAGCTGTTAGGACGAGAGGGAGCATATCCTGGAGTTTGCCCAAGCTGAACATGGCTCCAGATACTGGATGCTAAATCCATCTCTGGCCTGAACTTCCTTCCTGGAACCCAGGCTTTGCCTGTAGAGGATCCTCTCGATCACTCTGCCTCTTCCAAAGCTCCCAGGCAAGCAATAGAGTTGACTTCTAGTTTTCAGCTTGACCTTCAGTGATGTCCATGTGTCCTTTGACATAAGGCAGATTACCCACTTGGCCTTGAGCTGGGTCACTGTGGTTAAGCCCCATCAGATTCACATAATTATTGTTTTTTAGTGCTTTTAGGCTCTAAAATGTACCAAAAATATATTTTAAAGATGCCAAATGTACATGGACAGTGTCAATCTCCAGAATGTCCAAGGCTGCAGATCTAGTCGTCCCTTGGTGGCCTTCCCATTTGTATCTTCCGGGTTGTCCTTCAAGTTTCTACAACACCCAGCCTTCACCCCATGAAAGATGATGGATCTTAGAACAATTCCCATCCCTGACCAGTGTTCATAGGCCCTCAGAGCTAAAAGGAATCCTTCATGTCACATGGGTCTCTGCTACGCAATTCCTCAAGCTGTAGAATGTCTTAGTCATTTGTGATCTCACATGGAGCCAAATGTGCCAAGGAGGTGGAAGAAGTGCCCCTTTAAAGAGTCCTGGAAGGCAGTGTTCAGCCTTGGTTTCTGATGGAATCAGTGGTCCATCCTGTCCCTTTCTTGGGAGAAAGGAGCTGTACCTTAGAAAGGGTGCTTGCTTCAAGTCTGAGGTCAGCTCCCTTCCATTTTCCCAGGCAGAGGAAATCTACTTCCTGTGCTCAATTCCTTTGCAGTTTCTTCAGCTTCTGGGTTTTCACTGGCTTCTCAGTGCCTTGAAGACCACCCCATGGCAGTGAAAGCCATCCCTTTACTCCCGTGCCAGCTCCTCCCTTCCCTGTCCCATTTCTCTCTCCTTTGCAATGGCCTCAGTGTTCTGGGGGGTGCCCTGCACTGGCACATTCCCACCCTTCCTGAGACTGGCTCTCAGAGTCAGTGTACCCCCAAGCCCCTTAGAGTAGAGAGCTCTGGGACACCCTGACGATTGGCCAATTCTTTCTGTCCCCACATTACAGCTCTACTTGGGGCCGCCATCATCTCATACATGAGCAGCCACAGTGGCTGCTTCATTAGTCCATCACCCTCTTTCCTAATTGTTCCTAACGTCAAAACGATCTTTCGAGAGTATAGGACTGATGGAACTGATCCCCTCACACAGCTCTGTGTTCTAAAAACCTTTCAGCAACTTCTCACACTCCCATAACACAGACCAAGGTCCTTATGGAGCCCACCAGTTCTTGCCCTGCACCCGAACCACCATCCCTCACACACATGCTGGCCCCTGACACTTGGTATTTCTATTCATTCTTAGTTTTCAGTTTAAATTTTAATCCCTCAGTGAATTTTCCTAACCTGTCAATCCAAACCGGGATTCTCCGCAATTGAGGACACATTACATTTACTTAGGCATCACAACACGCCAGTTTCTAGGGCCTCTTCCACACTAGGTGGTCAGCTCCATGGAGTCAGTGCCACTTTTCTGGATGACTACTATCTCTATAGGCTGTGACCACCATTAAGGTTCCCACAGAGAGGGTTTTCCTGACATCTCCCTCCCACATCTCTCGGTGGAACTGTCTGTTTGTCTTTCTATTCTGTGTGTCAGTTTCCCCAAAGTTTGGTCCTTGTCTCCTGCTTCCTACGCCTATCTGAATAAACACTGTCCTATGACCTTATCAATGGCCTCAAATGCCCGTCTCCATCTCTACTCAGAACTGAACCTCAGAACTTCTCACCCTGCCATCCACACAGCACCTGCGTATCTTTTAGGCTGGACCCCCCTTCTAATTTTGCTTCAGCCTTGTTATCAATTTATCTTATCAAATTTTGGTGAGTTTTTTCTTTATCTCTTTCTCTGTCACTGCATTGCCTCACACTGCAGTCCTTTTTTCTACACCCCTTTGCCACCCACGCGACATCTTTACCCCAGCCTTCTTACAGGCAAGTCCTCATCCCGATCTCAGGACTTTTAGCTCAAAGCTCATAAAACTATGATCTCTCATTCTGCCCTCAGCCTGCTTCTCTTCTTAAGCCGATCCATTGATAGCAACAGCGGCAATCTTAGCCCATCTGTCTTGTGGGGAGATGCGCAAAGATAGCAGTAGATGAAGTGTATATTCTAATTCTGGTGCCATAACTATCTTTTGTATGCAGCATAGATGTGTATCAACCTGGGTATGTGTAGGAATGAGAGCAACCATTTCTGCATAACTCAGATGCAGAGCACATCCTCCTAGGAGGTGACAGATAGAGCAGCGATGCCCATTTCCCTCCACAGGGGATAATCAGGTTTGCTTTCCAGCCTAGCATCATGGACTCCAAAATGTACTGCTAAATGAGTTCCTGGTGCCAGCTCCCTGGCCCCTCCTGGTTTATACCTTGGGCCATGCCCCAAAGCCAGCATTATAATAACCTTGATAATCTTTTCTCCAAACTCCCCATCCTTGATGTCAAGCAAGGAGAAAAGCCTGGAACTTATGAGCTAGAAGGGTGCCATATGCTGCCCCTATCATTGCTATCTGGGGCCACCTTTTGTAGACTTCCAAAAGGGAAAAGAAGAAGAAAGGCTGGGAGTGCTGCTTACAAATGTAATTAGCACCATATTTTAACAACACTTTGACAATAATTGCTTCTCAACAATGCTGAGAAATCTGCAGTGCAGACTCCCTGGTGCCACTGTCAGAGTGAGTGATGCCACAGCCCTGTGGACCCTGGAACCTGGCTGCACAGCTCCCCAGCCTTGCTCACCTCCCTCTTTCGGCTCACACACAGGCACACTCAGATTGGCCTGCAGCTACTGTCGTGAGAAGGCTGGGTCTGCATGGCAGTGAGTCATGCTACAGGGAAAGTGCTGTTCTACCCCCAGAAGCATTTGGAGACACAGTTTATTTGGGCTAATCCTACTCAGAGCTTTCTGTTTGCAGTTCCTTCCAGCGGTCAAGGCAAGGTTACAGCTATCACACTCATGGCCATAGGAAAAGCGGTCATCGCCTCCCAAAGTGAAGCCTGGGTGTGGCTACCTAGTGCCATACCCCTTTGTCCCCCAGGCTTTGCTTTTGTGACGCTAGTAATCAAATTGGTTTTGTCAATTTTAGTAATGAAACCATTTCCCCCTTCATTTAGGGAGTGAGGGTCATTGACATGGATGATTTGATCCTGTGTTCAGGACTGTGACAATCCATATGTGAACTGCTCCCATGGACAACAGCTCCTGCTCTCTCACATCTGGCTAAGTCCCAGGTCAAAGTCCCTGGGAGCCAGGGACCGCGAGGAAGCCTTAGCTGCTAAGAAGGACTGCTGCCTCCTAGGCTAAGGACATTCCTGGTAGTATGCCAGGCGCTGGCTCCCCGTCATTAGAAGGGCTGCTCAGAGCTGCACAGGACCACAGGATCATCCCCTGAAGTGTAGTCCCTTAGCTGGTGATTTTCTATAAGGCCATGTTTGTCAGAATGGAAAAGGTGACCATGTAGCAGCAGGGACCTTGACCTACTAGCTCTTATGAAAAAAATAAATGAAAGGGAATAAGAAAAAACAGACATCAGAGCACCCCTACTTCTATACTTCTCTGATGGAGTGAAAGGGTCCATTATCTGAGTTTGGTGGCCCTCCCAGAAATGCTGAAGATGGGCTTTATGTTGAAGAGCCCACTACCACATATGAGATCATCATCCCAGGCCTCTCTTCCCTCCACCCAGGGCACAGGTTGTCAACCAAGGTTCTGATTCTGCCCCTGGAGTGAGGGGCCATCCTACTTGACTCCAAGAGCCAGTTTCCCAGGGCATGCCCCAGGAAGAACTCAGTGCTAAGTTTGCTATGGGTACTCACGCAAGCCTGGCTCCACAGTTTTCGCCCTCGATGTCACCTCCAGCCACATTTTCAGTGTTGACAGACTCAGTCTCACTTGTGGGCATGCTCACTGTGAGTGATGGGGAGGCATGGAAGGCATTGAGGGTAGGGAGAGAAAGGGAGAAGAAGAGCGTTAGTGTAAGACATACCATTCTAGCCCAGGGCTGGCTGGGCACCACCTGCTGGCCTGTCTGTGGGGGCCTGGCCCTGGCATTGTCCTCATCAGGCTGAGCAAGCCAGCTGCCAGGACGCTGTAGATGAGTGGGATTGTAGGAAGGACTCTGATGATCAGGCCATTTACCTTACAGGACACATCTGGACAAGAATGATGGTTGCATCCTTCTTGGCCCTCAACTTTGGAGTTTTTCCATTTGCATCCTCAACTGACCACATGGAGAGAAGCTCTTAAAACACAACTCTGCCACCTTCTTCCTTTCTTTCCCCTACCAGCTCCAACCTAAGACTGGAGTCTAGCTTGCTTGCAGAAAGGGTGCTTCTGCTACTCAAACAAATTTCCTGATGGATTTGGGGACATTTTTTTTCCTGCAGTGCACTGTGTCATAAAGCAATGACACTTAGGACCACACCTGAGGTGGTGGTCTTGAGGTAACTAGCCACTGTCAAACTCACATGTTTGACCTTACACAACATGGCACACACAAAGAATGGAGTCGTCTAATTGCAGGATCCACAAAATCAGGCTTAAATGTGGGCCAAAGAGAACCTGCAGGGATACCATCTCTCTTCTTAGAAGTCCTGGACCCCCATCTAAACAGAGATACTAGCTACCTGATTGTCCCAGAGCCAACCTGGCCAAGCAATGGCCAGCATCTTACACTAAGGCAGCAGCAGCCTAGGAAGGAGTTTTCCAGCTTAGACTCAGCATGGTGGCTTAGGTCATTTATTTTAGTATTATTTATTCTATAAAATTAAAGTTTAGCTCAAAGAGTTCTTCAAAGCTGCCATCATCCTTTTAATGTAATATGAAACCATCCATCTATATATATACACTATATATATGTATATATATATATAAATACACATATATATACTTTAAAAAATAAGATATGGTCTTGACATATTCCAAGCTGGCCTCAAACTTGGCAGTCCACCTGCCATAGCCTCCTGAGTGTGGCATTAGTGGTATACACCACAACTCCCAGGGAGCTTCTTGGTTTTACCAATCCTTCTTTAGAGCAATGTGGACTGGCACTCCTTCCCGAATAAACCTCATCTGGTAAGAAATCACTGGCCCTCAGCAGCCACAGTGTCTACAACTACTGAGACTGTGACAGGAGTGACAAGTCTCCATGGACCACCACAGCCCAGGGGAGACGTTCATTGGTTACATGGTAACGTTGATAGAGATGGACTTTCCCAAGTTTCTTTTCTTCTGGTTTATGACAAGTCAGGCAGATGAAAAGAGTTTCATTTCAAATATGGAAGACACAAACAGAGAACCCATGACTTACTATGTTTTGACGGTCACATGGAATAGTTCTCTTTGACTTAGGATTCTGCCTCAAAAATGTTGAGAAAAAAGAATCCAGACACCATCTCATAGATATTAAGGGCTGGAGGAAACTGTAAAAATTACCCAGCTCTAGCATGTCCCCCTTATGTCATAGGAAAGGAAAGTGAGGCTTAGAGACTGGGTATGATGGTCAAAGTCCATGGTGCGCCTAGAAAGGACTAGTGATTGAGCACTGTCCCTGCCCCATGCTCACCTTGACCACTCCAGTGTTGACCAAGTCTCTACTCTACATCTAGGGTAAGTCAATGACTGGGAGGCTGAGCCAGGCTCTGGACACACCACAGGATGGCATAAAATAGACCAGCAATGTTGTTCAGATTTATAGCGCTGACATTCATATCGCAGCCTAAGGTCTTTGGATGGGACTAGTCATTGGAGGTGACTTAGCACTGGGAACTGGGAATAGGGGCCTTCAGAGGTTTCCATGGGCTGTGGACAATCCACATTAAATAAGAAGCTATAAAAGTGAGGAGCATTTGGCCTTTCAGTTTGTTTATCTTTAGCCACTCTGGACTCAGGCCCCTTTAACTCTCGGAGGTCTGAGCTCCATGTAGAAAGCTTCCTGACTTTGTGATACTTGGCTCTCAGAGAACCCCTTGTATGTGAGTACAGTAGTGTGAGAGTAGCAGTGCTAGGCTTGGAAAGACACTAAACTTAGGAAGAAGTTGCCTGGGCCTTAGGAGTAAGCATATCCTCTAGTCAAGGCCCTTCCAGCAGCGGGGCTCATTCTGCATTTACAGTGACTGGTTGTGGCTGTCACTATCCAAAGGAAAGACTCCATCTTCTATCATGGAACAGTTGGTGCTGGTTGTCAAGCTCGCTGACTCGATCCAGTGGAAGAGATGAGGGTCAGTGGTCTTCCCCTCACAAACACACACACACGTGCAAACATATCCATACCAACAGAAGAGCGCTGGTGTGCACCCACACAAACACACAGGCGCACACACCCCAGACATCAAGAGCAACGTTCTCCCATGCAATCTGTATGGACCAACACACATTTACACACAGAGAGCACAGGAGACATTACCATGGGTTTCTGTAGAGTGACTAAACCAAGCAAACTTCCCTTTCTTCTGATCAAGCAAGCCCGCCGCTGCGCCTCCTTTCACAGACAAGATGGCCAGTGTCAAGGTCAGGGACAAGACATCAACAGAGAACATGCAATCAGCACAGGCAAAAGAAATAACAGACTTCTTACATGAACACTTTTATCTCCAAAAATTAATAAAACAATGAAAAGCATAAACCAAGACGTATAAGAAAACGTAACAAAATCTGGTGAAACTTTTTAAGTCACATGAATTAACAACATAAAACAAATGATGGACCCTTAGTGGAGTAAATGGCCGACTCTAGAAGAGGCTCCCAACCACACTGGCACATGTACCTGGAGACTTCCTAGTACCTGTGTCACCTGAAACCTTTTACAGATTTAAGTAGGTTTAAGATTAAGCTGGTGCCTGATTTCACCCATCCCACTGGCTAGATGGCTCAAGCTTCTCCCTCCCAGGGACCATGAATGCCAGCTACAGTGGGCTCCCATGCTTCCTTCCCACTTGTCCCCGGATGGTGTCATTTGTCTATTTGTCTACTTCTCCCCTTGTCTAGCTCAGTCTTTGTGTTTCGTTCAGTAAGTGGCTATCCAATGCTGCAGTCTTGGTTACATCCAAAGCACATGTGCATCTGCTTTACTTCGGATTTCACAAATGCTTACTGTGTTTAATTCTGTATGCACTATGCATGCAATTCATATACAGTACATTTCATAGTCTGTTTTCTTTTGAAGAGGAATAACCTGAGAGTCTGGTTCGAGTACAGAATAACTAAGCTGTCTTGGGAACCCACTTTTCATCAGAGTTCAGTTTCCTGTGCATAGAAAGCCTTAGGCTCTGCTCATGTCTGGGCTTAAATGCAGAGGAAGGAGCCAAGGGACAGAGAAGTCTGTGCTGTGCAGCAGCCTGACGTCCTGAGAGCCAACGCGTTAGCTGACTCCCCAGAAAGGGGGTTTCTCTTAATAACACTCATGCTTGTGTGCTTCTGTGACAAAACAGAGCAGCTGTCAGAAATAAGTGATGGACATGTACTGGGCACAGCTTATTAATGAGGAGCAGCAGTGGGTGGATGCAGGAAGTTACCAGACAGTCCTACAAGAAAGTGCTCTGATGAGGACAGACAAGTGGCCCCATGTGCTCTGGCGAAGGCTGTGAAGGGAGCATCTTTCATCCTAGTCTCCTGCAACTTAGATGATAACCAATGAACTTTTGTGTTAGTGGGGATTCAGAAGTCTGGCTAGTCTTCGAAAGGGGTCAAGCTCATTGCCAACCTATAGGGAGGTCCACATCTCCAGTGTGCAAAACACAGAGTAGAATAAACAGCAACTCTCAAATCCATTCTGGGGCTTCTCTTTCTTCTCAAAACTCCTTCCTGAATCGAACATTGGAAGTGAGTCAGGTCCCATTTCCCTTCTAGAGAGGTACATTTTAGAACGAGAACTAAAGCAAAAAAAGGGAGCCCGTGAGGACCGTGCTTTCTGTGGAGATGTGAAGAGGAAACAGAAAGCTGCCCATCGCCAAGCTCCTGGGGCTGGTGTGAGGGTACAAGGATTCCAGTCAGTGGTTCAAAGCTCAGAGACCTGTCAACCAGGAGCATTTCCCAGCATTTGGCTTGACAAAAAGTGCGTCATATCTTGTTCGATATTGGAAATAACTATAGGATAACTTTTAAAGTCATAAGAAGAACCCGATAAACATATGGGTGTTCAGATGGAACCACCTGTGGTCAGGATGCTCATGGTGGGATGTGGCCGAACCTCTGGCTCAGTTCTCTATGTGCATGGCCTGCATGGTCTCCATTCAATCTGCTCTGTGGGTCAAGTAACATCTCTGAAGGTTCCTACCTGAAATGAACATCTCTCACCAGAAAGGAGCATTTATTTAGTTTATTCCGTAGGCATCTGGGAGATAAAACAGCTGAAAATGAAGTGATCCTGTCAGTAAAGGATCCCACGGCCATGCGGCAGTTGCTGTTTAAAGGGAGGCTTCTGGGGAACTCTGTGCTCAGATTGTGTAGGCCGAGAATCACAAATATGAGACACGTGCCCCACAGGTGAGCTGGAAAGCTTGAGCACCTACGGTTACTTGGCTGAAGAGGCTGGCTGAAAGATGGGGAAGCCCTCAGGGGTCAGAGGACACCCCATTCCAATGTGATTGTATGATTGTCTGTGTCCCTCCAGACAGGTGAGGATATACCCTTTGTAAAAACACAGTGTGTGTGTGTGTGTGTGTGTGTGTGTGTGTGTGTGTGTGTGTGTGTGAGATGTATGGTGTGTGTGCCTGTTCATGTGTATGCCATGATAGCCTGTGTGTGGATGGAGGTCAGAGGTCAATCTCAAGTTCTGGTGGGAACTAGAGTTTGCCAATTTGGCTAGGAGAGCTGGTGAGCAAGCCCCAGGTGTCCACTCGTCTCTGCCTCCCCAGCACCAGGACTTGAAGCGCTTATCACCAGGCCCAGCTTTGGTGCGGGGCTCAGGC